GCGACTTGCGTGATGTCGATCTAGTCGTTCCTTGAGTAATCCTCGGCCTGGAATCCAGTCGCCATTTGGCAAGACAAGCTTGCGCGTCTCTTCGCTAACCTTACATTTACCCGCGTCAATATACCTTTGTTTCTCCGCGCAACGAGGGTAGTAATGTTCGAGACTGCCGCAAAAGGCGCAGTCATTGAACATTGGCGCTTCGCGCTTATATTCGCGCTTGGTTACTGTACCTTGCGTGGGTGATTGCGCTGATGTGGTAGCTGTGACTAAGTTAGTGAATGACGTTGCCATAGGCGCGCTAGGCGTCGCGCTAGCTGCAGGCGCATTCACGGGCAGAACGAAATGTCCAGCTGTAAAGACGTCCATGAACGGGTATGGATCCTGCGGGTAGTGATCAGGAAATTTGATCATGAGGCGTGTGCGTATTAGCGCCTGAGTATCCTTGGGAATCCCTTCCATGAATATGTGATCGCGCTCGGCTTTACCAATGCGATCTTCTGCCAATAGCGGTTGCATGACCTTCTTGAATGCGCGAAGGTAGTTGCTTAACTCCTGGTACAAGGGCATCGTCTTGTTCGCGTATTCGCGCGCGATGGCTTGTAGATCCGAAAGCGTGTAGCGCCTTTTGCCATCCCATCCGGGATACATTACCTTGACTTCTTTCATGAACACGTTGTAATCGCTTACTTGCGCCTCCGGCATTCCGCCCCATAATTCTCGGTCATCGCGCTCAAGGTAGCGGATGATACCCTTAATGCGATCGAGACCTTGTAGACCTACGTCGTCAGCGAGCTGCTCGTATAGGTCGATAAAGTCGGCAAGGTTGTCGGTTGTGCCATCAAATTTAGGCGCGTCTGTTGTTCCACGGACAGGCATTCTGGTTCTTACTGTGGACATGATGGGCGGTTGGGAAATTGCAGGCGTGGGGATCTTGTGACTGATAGGTGCTTGGCGCACGTACGCGAAAGGAAGGTTTGATATAACGGTACCACCTGGAATTGAAAATGGCACGCGCGGTGTTTCTAAGGCTTCTTGCTTGATCTTAGGTATTCCCGTTGTAGGAAGCGCGTTCTTGAGCGCGGGGACTACTGGCGCGTTAAGTGGAGTGTCGCTAGAGTCGTCAAGCTCGCTTAGCGCGCTTAGCGCTGACAGATTAGAAGTATTAAAAGGAGGTTGATTGGGCGTGTGGAGGAATGCTCCGGGAAGTTGGCTCCTTGGGTTATCTATTGCTTTGAAGCCGTCTGACGACTCTTCCTTGACGGATTCTTCAGGCGAGGGCGTGACTGGCGATATCAGTTGTCTAGGCGCGTGCGCGAAGAGCGCTGGATCTGGTCGCGGAGGTTCTGATATATTGCACGAGCAACCGCGCGTGTGTTGAATGAATAAGGGTCCTGGTATAATGGATTCTACCGCCCTGTCGAATGCGGCGATGGCTTCTTCTCTGGCTATGCGGCGACTGTTGGGTCTGAGGCGCCGACCTTCTATCTCAGAAGTGTCCCTCGCGGTGGGCTCCAGTTGTAGATGAGGAATCTTGACTAGACGTGAAAACACTTAAAACAAAAGGGTGCTCAACAGCAAGACCGGGATACGAGACAACAACTCGACCCAAGGGACAACCACTGAGAGAAGTTCCTCGAAATAAAGTGGAGGGAAACTCTATGAGCTAGGCGGGCGCTAACAGGCACGAGAAGATAACGTGTGCAAAGGCGCGCGAGATGCACACGTGAGCGGGAGGTTCGAGAATGCGCGCGCGCAAAGCGAAGGCGCGCCTTGAGCGTTAAGGGAAAGGTCCTATTGAGGAGTGAATGCCCAGATGGATGATTGACAGGAGAATAAGATCTTATAACAAGTGAGGAGGTGATCTATACACTTTCCAGTACACAAAGATAAGGGGAAAGTAAGTACCAGAACCAAAGGAAACCCTTCTGTATTTAAGAATGGAGATGGCGCGCTTCCGAGCGTGCTCCCGAACCGAGTAACCATATCAACTCTAATTATAACTAAGTTTAAATAAACTTTCTATAAGTAGCGCGGACGTTGGACCGAAGATTTTATTAGTTCAATGGATAAGATAGAAATAACGCACCAGCGAACCAGTAAGGACATGGGACGGATGGACGGACGATAGCGCGAAGACCTATGAGGAGGCGCGCGTGCGTAGGTAAGGCGCGCCTAAGTGCGCGTGAGTTCGGATAAGGCGTGTGCGAGTGCGCGCGAGACTGGTACTTAGGAGTAGAGCTGTAACATATAGGAATGTATGGGTAAAGGCTGTATATTCAGCATTGAGACGCGCGAGTCTCTACATCGGGATGTGATGGAGGCCATCAACATAATTAGAGCGATGGGTTCAGTGGAGGAAGCGATGACTTGGTAGAGAGGGATTTAGGGAATAGATAAGTCGATGTAGTGAGTTAATGGCTTGTAGAGCGAAGGTGGAGATGATGACGAGGGAAGTGGGGTGGTAGATTTTGAGTAGCTGACGGCTAAAGTGACAAAACTGATGGTGTTGGCGCAGATTTGAGGGATGAGAAATATTCATCAGCCAACTCCACTAGCCGTTCGTGATGCACCCCAGCACCAGCAAATCCTCGCCGGGAGGTACCAGTTTGTAATGCAGTCCCGAAATAGGCCTCCACTGGGCGTTGAGTTCATTGAGAATTCAAGATGGTGTCTGATATGAGTGAAAGCGCGAGAGAGGTAGCTTGGTCAAAGTTGGACTATTGGTGCATGATATATTCACGTGATGAACAGCACATGATTTGGCCACCTAGCTCGTCCATTGCGCTCACCATATCTTCCATGGAGCGTGAGCTGGTAGTCTGAGCGATAGAGAGCTTTGAATACTGGCATAGATACTGCCTGAAGCTATGCACCTTGAGGGCCATCCTGTCTAGAAAATACCACCGCCCGAGGTGGATGGCTCTTGGATCCCGCATCTACATAGAATCTAATGGATGAAAAATGACTGAGAGTCGACTCTGTAGCAACTCTGACCTTGTGTGAATAAAAATGATGAGTGATCTGTGAAGCATGTACGCAAGTAGTGAGCATCAGTGCACTAGATCCTCCGAATTAGATAAATGTATGGCTGTTGCGCATCTTGATCCTGCTGAGAATGCGAGATGCGTTGAGCAGCACCGCTGTAGAAACAACAATACTGAGAGGAACAAAAGATGCTCCAAACTGTATCTATAAAATGTTGTAGGTCGTGCGTTGCCTAGTCTGCGTTACTTGAGGAGACAAGCGTGTTCGACCTTAAAGGGAAGCGAGTGCAGCGAAGATCTAGAGGTACGCGCTGAAGTGAGGCGCGAGAAAGCGCAGGTGCGCGCAAGGCACAAAGGCGCGTATTAGCGCGAAGCGCGGGAAAGCGCGCGTGCGTGCGGAAACAATAGAGAGGTTAGACTTAAGTGATAATATGATGCAATATAAGAGAAGAGAGATGTGAAGTGTAGACAAATAGACTTCTACTATGTTCTGCTAAGTAAAATGGTGGGTGGTAACTAGTAAGTTTGGTGAAAAGTAAGTTCTGCTGGCGCTTATATAGCGCGCCGAAGCGCAGTCATGCAGAGCCGAAGCGCTACCGAGTAGGTATGTAAGGATATATATGGGTGAGAGTCCATGATAAAAATAAAGGTGGAACACTATGCTAATAAAGGAAATGGAAATATACGCACTAGGGAGCTTGGTGGACAGTGGATGGATGCATCTGGATGACTGGCGCTATAGGGCGCGCAAGCGCGGGAATGTGCGCGCGCGTATACATCGCGAAGCGCGGGAAAGCTGCGCCTCATATAGGAATTGCTGTGGACAGTACACAGAGTGGTGCTGCAAGTTGGTGCTGTATACTCCCTTAGTGGAAACTGCCATATCACGCCATGAGAGGCATGAGTCTCTACACTGCGCTGAGCATGATGATCAATTTCAAAAGGAACAAGTAATATGAGATAAGAAAAATCGCACCTAGCCACCCTCAAATGCTTAAAAACGTACACAATCGTTGTTGCGGACATGCGCATGCAACAAGTCACGAATATACTAGTCCTTGCAATCAACCAAGTTGACACAGACAGAATGAGCGTGCACAAGTTCTACATATTAGTCTCGAGCAAAGGTCGAAAAATTGACAATGATGTGGCCAGGACTAGGTCCTAGCAGTGACTGGCAAGAGATCCCCAAACAGAAACTGTGTAATGAAATGTAGGCAAACTTGAGGGATCCCAATATACCCACATTTGACATTGTCAATAGAGCTTCCGTCGTCAGAAGTTCTTGAATCTTGATCCGAAATAACGAGAATGACGAGGGAACAAGAAATCAACAACAGAATGAAATGAGGAAGATGCAGCAAACCGAAAAGAAAAAAAGATGAGCCACTTTGATGGGAATGATGGGATTATTATGCGCACGAAGCGAGCACAGAAGACTACCGTGTGAGTAAACGAAGTGGCGCAGCACACCGATGCACATCGGTACTTAGTAAAGCCTCAACCGTCCAACTCAGTAGATCTACTATATCTCTTCGTTCTTTTGCACCCACCTGCCACTCTCTCTCTCAGGGTACGGACCATCACTTGATTCACTTGCTTCATTAATTCATTCATCTGATGTGCTGCGTTTGCTCTCTAGAGCTTCAAGCCTCATGCAAGGTGACCTGATTGGTGCCTACCCCCCATTACTACTCACCTTGAGACCTTAGATTCGTGCTCATACTCTGGACCAAAAAGCCTTGTGTGCAAATACTAGTTTATTGTTGTTCTATACACTACCGAACTCTTGTACCCCCAGTCCTCGTTCAATCAACCATTTTCTCCCTCATCAGTCGTTACGCTACAGAAGCATAGACAGTAAATAACATCCAATGATATAAACAGCCCGGGATGATTGGTGCACTCAACATGCCATTTTTGATGGACAGATATTCCAGGAACCTCGTGTTTTATTGACGATTTTGCAGCTACATAGTCATTAAATTCGAGCTTGATCGACAAAGTTTCAATAAATTACTCGATGATGTACAAGTTTGGTAGTACATGGAGATAGTATGTGCACCTGAGTACCAGTACAATTCAAACAGCGGCAGATGTAAGTGAAATAAATAATATTAGACCCGACCGTATGCAGGATGCCACCTACATTGAGGCTGTGACAAACACAAGGCTATTACCATAAGTCGAGTCAGTGCGATCGCTAATTGATCCGGCAGGAATGCATTCCTTGTAGATATTCACTTGCTTGGGTAGATTCGTTTGGAACAAAGTTGGACGTGATGAAGCTGCAATGGCATGAGTATTTGAGGAGAACACGCTGTCAGTGTAGTTGGATGCACATGCATTTTCGATGGCCTGTTCAAAAACATCCACCTCAGCTTTGGCGCGAAGCATCTTTGCCTGTAAGTAAAGTAGCTCCAAATTGGCATTGCGGTGGTGAGAGTGGTAACGTTCAATCTCGAGATATGTTGCCATCAATCCAGCCTGAGTGCCTAGTTCCGCTTTATGTGCCTCATTAAAGGCCTCTTGGACACAAGGGGTGACCCATGTGCTGCACAGGTGGAATGAGGGGTTGCACTTTAGAGATACGGTAAGAGCAGCCAAGTAAACTAAGGATGGTACTGACATTTACAATGACTGACGTTCGTTGTTCTGGGGCATGAGCAAGATGATCGACAGCTGGAGCGTTCGAAAGCGGGACACTTTCGATCGAGAAAGGTTCGTTAGGCGACCTGAGGTTGGTGTTTTGTCTCCTTAACCAACTTTCACATTTCTGTTGTACAGCTGCCGAATGGGCCATGGGAGGTACAACAACACACATCGGAGTTGCTGAGGTGGAGACATGATCCACGGTTGGGACCTCAATAGGATGCTGCAATGCTAAGAAGGAAGGCGTCAGACCGTTCAAGCACTTATTAGTGTACTGAATTGAAAGAATCTCACGTCTGATCCATCTCTGCTGGACATAATCGATAGCCTGACTGCATAGAGATACTTCCAACTGACATTGATCCCTCCTCTCCTCCATGAAAGCTTGTTCTACTATCCCACACCTTGTATTGTCCCCGGCCGCAACATTTCACAATGACTCCTCCCTTTGTGCTTCCAACAAACACCCCCCAACTATTTGCCAGATGTCGCCGAGATCAACCCGACCTCTAAGCAAGAAATAAAGCAAGTACAATTCAGTTCGAATCTATATGAAGAACTTTCAAGATGTGCAAAGTGTCAGAAATTATGGACTGACCGTCTCCGATGGTATAAGTCTTATATAGAATTCCAGCCATTTAGGACCAGTTAGTATATTCGAGAGTTCAAACATTCCGAGATGGATAGCCAGGGAGTTGAATGGTGGAAGGCAGGAGGGCGTCAACATGGTGAATTGCAGGAAGTATGTACAGCGTGTGGTTTCTGAGAATGATATGTTCGAGAATATATTATAGTACTAAACTGCTGCAGTGATTGAATATCCTGGCCATCAGTCCTTTGCTGGCGATCAAAATGACGTATATAAATGGAGCTTGATGAAGTATTATATATAGTTCAGGCGGTCGATGGCACTTCAATGGCACTCTCGAACTTTTCAGCAGCAGCTTAAGATCTAGGGTAGTATCATGTCACAGTTTGGTTTAATGTATTTCAACTCCATTGGAACCCTAGCAGATCAGAAACCAATCAATCAATGATATAACAAGATACAACTTAATCGCACCCACTTGAACATCTGTCTTGAAGATCTGATACCAAAATTTCAAACATATTTCCATGTGGATACACGATTTGCCTCTGCCTTCATTCTTCCGAGGATTGCGAGGACAAGGAGAGCCATCTTTCTCCCACGTCCTAGGGAGCCTGGCCAAGAGGATACTAGGTTACGGCAGAAAGCGTGGCTGCTGGACAACAGGCTTCAGGAAGAGCCCCTAGGTGACAATGGGTGGCCAAGTTTTAGGTGAGCTAAGGACGTAGCGACGATACACTGGCTGCTCCTAAGGCCTAAGCATTGAACAATGTCACATAGGAGTACTCGTCCGTAGTGCTGTAAGGGTGTAGGTAGGAGTTGGAGCCTCTCCAGAGGAGTAGAACTGTTGGAACCTGGTCAACTAGTCCATAGTGTATCCCAGAACAGTATCTTTCAAAGTACCCTGACATGATGAAGGTGTTTGAAGCACAATGAGCCTGATAACCCACAAGCCGACGATCTGGATTCTTGACTTCGGAAGCCACTAGGGTTCTCCAAAACAAGCTGAAATTCGACATTTGTGTCAGAAATGAATAGACCTAAACGTTCCAAGTTCAACTAAAATGAAAATATTACTTGTACTACTCACCACTGAGAAGCCAATTCTATCCAGTGTCCATGCCAAAAGTCATCGAGGGATACACTTTTGGAGTGTCTAGGTGGAGATCAGTCACAAATTCTTATGCCTGCTACCAGGGCAGAAGGATTGAAATTTGTTTTTTTTTGGTCCTTGAAGCTTGGTCTATGCACATTGCATAGAGAAATTTCACAGAGATGGGCCTGACCTGGGGCAAGCCAAGCTGATATCAAGCCGATATGCTCCGCTATAATAAATTTGCGACAAATGCGGGTGGGCTGTGTTTACTCAGCACTTACTTCCATATCGTGTTCAACCCTTGCAAAGGCCTCTCGTTAACATGGGTGATTTATCAAAATTCAGTATTTACGTTGGTCGGCAGTTGCAAACAAGGAGAATTGAGCGTCAATTCACAGGTAGAGGAATTTTGCAGTGTAAATGATATTAGTGCGATTGGGCTGGTAAGTACAAGAGCCTCCATCTAAGATGATCAGTGTCTCAGTTCACCCTCTTGCGCAGCTCCACCTGCATGCGGTCCATCCCCAGCTAGCACTTGGTCCAGCTCAACACCTTACATTGTGCCGGTGACTCCTGCCCCAGACCTAGTGTCATCAGTATCAACGATATTGAAGCCTTATTCCGATTCCTACCGACCCTTTTGCTTTTGCACTCCTCTTGAACAGACTTGGATGTGACGCTTCATTATCGGCCTCGTTACCACTCGCATACAGTGCTTGCAGCATCTAAAAAGAACGTGGAACTCATTCACTGTAATTCCATCACCAACGGTAAATTCGAGCCTCTTCATCAATTCTGTTTGTTCCAGGTAGGTCCATTCAAGATCAATCGGGCGCGGTTCTTTGTGCTCTTCTACATTATCTCAATAAAATTATGATTTTGCAGCACAGCAAGTTCATACCTCGACGAGGGTACTGGCAGGTTCCTATGGACGATCGATGATAGTATGCGTCAATTTTAACTAGGTGATAGTTAGTTTTGGATGTTTTGAAAAACGAAGTATACTGACCTCGATATCCACATTGATCAGATGCGCATCTTGCATTCCAATAAGTCTTATCGGTGGTCTTATCCCTCCATGAGTACACTGCTGCCTCCATGTATGCCCCTCTCCCACCCTCCTCGGCACATAGGCAGCATGGGTATCGAAACTGGCGTTCTTTACGGTACTTCTCAAAGTTGGACAGTAGAACTTTCTTTCCCTTGTCATTGTTGGGCCTGCATTTGTGGGCTATGTCAACGCTTAGATGTGCACATGATTCAAATGGCATCTTACCAGTACCATTCAATCATAGATTTTGACACACTGTCATAATGTAGGAGGGCGAAATGGCAAGTCATTGCCTCTGTAATGAGTTTGGCGAGTCTGAGTGCACTTTCATGATAGTTGGGTGGGGCAGTGATGATAGAAGAAGGTGAGCCTCCATTGGTCAGTCGGTTTAGCAAGGACTCGCCTCTTTATACATTATCATGGCTGGTTCACCCTTTTCTACCGCTGTCAAGTGCGCCAGTCCTGGTTTATGCTGCCAGGATCTGGCCTGTGGGAATATGGCCATGGTGGCGATTCGGTTAATCGGGCTGGCCATTTAGTGCCTATAATAGGTCCATTAGTATTATGTCATATCATGTTGTTGGATGAAATTGGTCAGTCACTCGATCCAATTTCTTCACTGTTGGGTTCAACTGTGTCTCTCGTCACTGTAGCTCCCCATGGACCTGGCCAATTCATCTGGAAGGTGTTTCAAATGCACTTGCACGTGTGAATTTACTCAGGAAAGCGCCTACACTAGGCATCAACAATTGTGTGTAAAGGGCAAGAAACATTTATTATCTGCTTTATCAAAAGCAAAAGACTTTCTATGAGCCGCAAAACGGCCCCGACTGGATGCCAATAATGCACCCGCTAGCATGGCGTCTTCGAGCATGCAGCTCCACTGCCCGCAATCCTTGTCCGTGTTTTCTGACCACGTCCATGAGTCATTCAGCGAAGAGTCTTCCAGTACTTCTGCAGCTGTGTCGGTAGTGCATCCCCCCCATGTATCACATGCAAGTTCTTCTTTACAAGGCGATCTGCCCATCCCAGTATCCAATACCGATCTTGGCACAGCATCCACGGAGATAGATGATGGGTTATCCCTGGCTCGGCGCAGAAGTAAACGTACTGGCATTTGCATGCCACAGCGCTATAGGCAGTATGAAGACATACTCCCCCAGCCTCCCCCGAGCGTTCCAAACCATGCTGCTCGGCAACTAGAGTCCACCTCACCCGCAGAATCCATTCAGGTGCCTACCACAGCTTGTTCACCATCGCGATCTGTTCCTTTCCGCATGGCAAGGAATGTTTTCGGACTCGTGCGCCAGTTTTTTTCTTCAACCCCTCCGTCCCATGACCCAGAAGAGGCTGCAATGTTCCAAGATATCAACTCTATCCCCTCTGTGGCTCCAGCGGAATTGAATAGCCATGCCCAACCTCATGACTCATTTCACCCGTACCCCAATCGAACGTCTTTCGATCTTGGCCATTGGTACTGGAACGGTAGCATACAGAAATCACAGGAGAGCTTCAAGGAACTGCTTAACATCGTTGGACGCCCAGATTTCGATCCTGAAGATGTTCGACGTATGCACTGGGACAAAATTAACTCACAATTAGGCACGAGCATTGACAATGAGGAGGGATATGAGTGGGAGGATTGTGATGCAGGTTGGAGTAAGACGGAAGTAAAAATCCAAGTTCCTTTCTCTTGCACCACAGCTCAGCCGGACACTTGACCTTATGTCGCAGCTCAACTCTACCATTGATCTCTCGTATTGGTTATTCGGGAGAAACTCACAAATGCCAGTGACGGTGAACATTTTCACTATGAGCCTTATCAATTGTGATGGAGCCCCCCCCCATCTACCCCATGAGGTGAACATTCAGGGCGAATTGTATACTTCACCCACATTCATGGATGCGCATCGCGAACTTCAGGCATCTCCTGGAGAGGCAGGATGTGACTTACCACGTGTGGTTACAGCACTCATGTTCTGGTCGGATGCCACACAGCTGACGACGTTTGGTAACGCGAAGCTATGGCCGGTATACATGTATTTCGGAAACGAGTCGAAATATCGCCGCTGTAAGCCATCCTGTCACCTGGCTAATCATATTGCCTACTTTCAAAAGGTATGACGGTCATTCCTCCTCAATGTTTAAACTCACAACTTTTGCAGCTTCCGGATTCATTCAAAGATTTCACGGGGACTTACACCAAAGGCAGGGGCGTTGGCCGTGAATGCACCACACATTGCCACCATGACTTGTTCCAAGCTCAATGGGCAATTTTGCTTGATGACGAGTTTTTAGAAGCCTATGAACATGGCATTGTGATTCTTTGTTGTGATGGGGTGAAACGCAGATTTTACCCACGGGTATTTACCTATTCCGCAGACTATCCCAAGAAGTGAGTCGTGAATACTTGCTCGTAAGATACATAAACTCACCTTAGCCAGGGTCCTCGTTGCTACTATCCGGCAGCTAGGAGGTTGTCCTTGCTCGCGATGCCTCATACCCACGAACAGGCTTCATCACCTGGGCATGAATCATGATAGGCAACAGCATAAGACTCTTGCACGTGCTGATATGTCGAGGAGTCAGCTGGTTGCCATGGCACGGAGCCTTATCTACGAGAAGAACTTTGGTGTAGACAGCACAGCAGTCGAGTCAATTCTCAAGCCTGAATCATGGGTGCCGACCTCGGTGAGAATGACCATCAATTAGTCGTCTCGCCTTCACTAACCTATCATTAGAATGTGTTTTCAGACTCTCTTGGTTCATTTGGACTTAATATCTTTCTTGCGCTTGTCATCGATCTCTTGCACGAAGTTGAGCTTGGAGTATGGCACATGCTTCTAATTCATTTGCTTAGGATTCTTACCGCTTTGGACAAGGACTTGATCCACGAGGTTGACAGAAGGTTAACCAGATATTTTAGTAATGACTCAATGGACTAATGCTCGACTTCTACAGGTATAGGCAGGTCCCCCGTTTGGACCAGCGACAATCAGGCAGTTCTGTTCAAATGTCTCCGAGATGTCGAACATGGCTGCACGGAATTTCGAGGATCTTCTACAAGTACGTACTATGAACGATTCTCATATGTCTTTATGTGCTAATTTTGTCTGAGTGTTCTATTCCGGTCTTTGATGGCCTTTTCCCCGACGCTCACAACAGCACTATTATTGATCTCCTCTTTACCATGTCGCACTGGCACGGACTTGCGAAGCTTCGCCTACATTCTGACCTAACCTTGGATATTCTTAATCAGCAAACAACTGATCTAGGTGAACGGTTTTGGCAATTCAAGGACAAAGTATGCCCCACATATCAAACTCGGGAGCTCGATCGTGAAGTTGGTGCACGATCTCGCCGGCAGGCAAAGGCAACGGCTAAACAGATGGGGACTAGCGATGGATGCGGCCCCAAGCGGGCTTCCCGAGGTTCTAACATTAAAGGTAAAGAAAAGGCAAAACCAGAGCAGTCACAGAATGTACCTGTGCCGAAGCACCCGCGGAGGAAAAAATCATTCAATATTCAGACTTACAAGTTCCACATCCTTGGAGATTATGTGGCCTACATTCGTCACTTTGGCACAACAGATTCGTATAGTACTGAACCAGTAAGTTGCAGCCCACTATCAATCCATTCATTAATCCAATTTTTATCAGGGAGAGTTAGAGCATCGTACTCCGAAAGGCAGATACTGTCGCACTGATTGAAACACATTTGTTCGCCAACTTACTCAGATCGAGCGCTGTGAGGTGCGCTTGCGCTGCATCAAGCAGCGGCAACGCAAAGGAGTCCCTCATACAGATGTACACGAAATAGCAAACGACCCCAAATTACACCACCACATTGGTCAGAGTGAGAAGATATATGACGAGTTTGGTCAGTACCTTCGCAACCACACAGGAGATCCTGCTATGAAGGTGAGCAACTTATGTGACTTGATGATCATTATCCTGAGATGTTATACAGGATTTCCTACCTCGATTAAAAGAATATATTTTCGATCGCCTCGAACAGAAAACCACTGGATCACCCGGGGAGAGACCAGCTTATTCAGACCAACACGATTCAATTTTCTTCAAACATAATCGAATTTATCACCACAACCTTGTCAGATTCAACTACACTACCTACGATGTTCGAAGAGCTCAAGATGTTATAAACCCGAGGACACCACATTGCAACATTATGTTACTTCAAGATGATGGTAGTCACGGTGGCCACTATCGTTATGCCAAAGTCATTGGTGTACATCATATTAATGTTGTGCACACCAGAAACGTATATGAGTCTCACCGAATCGAATTTCTCTTCGTTCGCTGGTATGAATCCATGCAGACTCACGCATGGAGCACACGCACTTTAGGGCGCATTCATTTCCAGCCTCTGGAAAATCAGAATGCCTTCGGCTTCGTGGACCCAAGTGTCATACTCAGGGCATGCCATATCATACCTGCCTTTTCTCTAGGCCAGCGCAATCCAGGTGAATGTGGGATTTCCACTCTCGCAGGAGACAAACACGACTGGCATGAGTACTATGTCAACAGGTAAATGGTTCCACATCCCATGATGATGACAATGACTAATACTAGGACCTCAGCTTTGTTGATCGCGACACCATCATGCGCTATCACTACGGCCTTGGGGTTGGTCACATGTACTCTCATGAAGCAAACATTATGGAAGACCTCTGCTCGACACAGGTGACACCTCGCCCTAACTTGAATACACAGATGACAATGTGGACAGAAAGTGGGGGAAGCCTCGCGGAAGGTACACTCCAGAAACCTCCTGACAACGACAACGACAACGACAACGACAACGACAATGACTATGACAACGACTACGACTACGACTATGACTACGACAACAATGACAACGACAACGACAATGACAATGACGACAATGACGACAATGACGAACAGGACAAAGATCAGGATCATGCTGGCGTGGAGGATCTTGATTTCTTTAATCAGGGACTTGATGCTAGCACAGAGTCGCTTGTTCAGGCCCTGGACGAAATGTTTACGACATGCCATAGTTTTGATTACGAGGATTAATAATGTCACTATACTAATCGGTAGCCTGACACTTCTTCCTGGCAGTTTTTTTGCCGCATTACCAATCATTGACTGGCCATCACTAGTTTTTCACTTCTCGCCTCGCTAATCTCTGGTGCAGCCTGACACATCTGGTTGATGGGTTCTTCACCGGCACTGCAATTCCTGGTGTAGCCTGCTGCATCTAGCTGACAGGCTCTTTGCTGCATTATAATCCCTGGCGTGCCCTGACTCGCCATCAAACATACATTATGCTATCCCAATCTTTGGTGTAGTCTTACTGGCGGTCCTTTCCCCATTCCCAATCCCTGGCGTGTCATGACTTGTGTTAATTTTCGCTACACTAATCTCTGGCAGCCTAACACCTTCTTGCTGGCCGTTCTTTGCTGAATAGGAATGTTTGGCGTGTACTAACTCATCATCACTACCGATTTCAGATGTAACTTCAATGATTATCACTGATCCCTAGTGCTGATCACTGGGTGCCCTCGCTTATCCGTAATTCATTTTGCCTATTGGTTGAAAGTGGCAGCCGGGTACGCCCAAATATTTATTAGAGTCTCGTTTGATGCTGTTTCCTTCATCTTCCTGCCCTCCCTCTCACAAGATGCAACAAACGGTATTGCCGGGATTTATTTATCCTCCAATCTTCATCTTCGTACCAGCTGCAGGCGAAGTCGCGCAATTATCGTTCAATAGTGTAAGTAAAATTTACACTGGACCATCCACACCATCACTGACGACCCTGCAGATTGACGAGGTTCGCTATCACCAATAAGTGTAACTTTCTAATTGACTTGGTTTTAGCCCTTTCATGGCTTCTCCAATCTTCTCTTTCTGGGGTATACCGCGCACGAAGGGCAACTATCACCAGTTTATGTGAGGCTATAATTCTCAAGTTCAAGTACTTCATCTCATCGTGCTCGTTTACAGTGGCCTCAAGAGCACATCCATCTCACAGATGCATCCCACGCCATCATGAATCATATAGGCTACCTGGCTACTGGCAGTGATAAACTATATGACATCTATGAGATACGGGTGAGAGCTCTGTCATGCTATGTTAACTTTTGATGTGATGGACATATTAGGAGGGCGGATCGACCTTTCTCAGGAATATCAGTAGTCTGTTTTGTAAGGGCAATATAACTAAAAGGGAGGCCTCTCCCATCTGGGCAGTGAGTGCTCCCATTGCTAGCACGTTGCCAAACTCATCACGCTGCGTACATAGCTCAATATGCTCCAGAAAATCCATAATATCCCATTTCATGAAGCCACTTTTCCATTAGGGTTCTCGCCTCCCCCACCATCCCCTTTCATCGCGGTCGAGCCCCCTCCGCAGCTGCTCTGTCTAGCAGCAGTGACCTCGCTATACCCGTCCCTGGATCTCGATTATGAATCTACAGGACGAGGCATCACAGCATCTATATATGGTGCCACCACTGTCAAAGAAGAGGACATCATTATCCCAAGCGCCCTTGAGGATTATCACTTCGCTGGTCAGGCGCCATCTTTTCATCTGAAGCTATCCTGGACAAATGAATCTAGGGGGGAAGTCCTTGACTCAGCTCAAAAACAGTCGCTCAAAGTCTCGTTGGCAAATTCATCTTGGGCAAAGCCGTTGTAGAAACAACAATACAGAGAGGAACAAATAATGCTCCTAGCTGTATCTATAATAGTTGAAGGTCGTGCGTTGCCTAGCCTGCGTTACTTGAGGAGACAAGTGCGTTCAACCCTAAAGGGGAAGCGAGTGCAGCCAAGATCTAGAGGTACGCGCTTCAGCGAAGCGCGAGAAAGCGCAGGTGCGCGCAAGGCGTGGGAACACGCGCGCGTATTAGCGTGAAGCGCAGGAAAGCGCGTGCGCGTATGCGGAAAATGATAAAGACTAGACTCAAGTGATAATATAATGCAAGAAAAGAGAAGGGAGATGCGAAGTATAGACAAATAGACTTCTACTATATTCTGCTAAGTAGTAAGTAAGTGATAACTAGTAATTGGGAGGTAAAAGTCCCTCTCTAATAGTATGTACTGCTGGCGCTTATATAGTGCGCCTAAGCGCGGTCATGCGGAGCCGAAGCGCTACCGAGTAGGTATGTAAAGATATATATGAGTGAGAATCCATGATAAAATAAAGGTGGAACTATGCTAATAAAGGAAATGGAAATATACGTACTAGGGAGCTTGGTGGACAGTGGATGGATGCTTCTGGATGGCTGGCGCCATAGGGCACGCAAGCGCAGGAACGCGCGCGCGTATACATTGCGAAGCGCGGGAATGGTGCGCGCATGGTGCGCGTTGCGCGGGAAAGCTGCGCGTCATATAGAGATAGCTGTGGGTAGTGCACAGAGTGACGCTACAAGTTCATGCTATGTACTTCCTAGTGTAAAGCGCCATATCAGACCATGAGACGCACGAGTCTCTACACCGTTTCAGCTGGGAAAATCTCTTTATTCAGGGCACTTACTGGTCGGTGTAGAAGAGGAATCTTGACTATAGGCGAAACACTTGAAACAAATGGGTGCTCTACTTCAAGACCAGGATACAAGACAACGACTCGACCCGAAGGACAACTACTGAGAGAAGTTCCTCAAAATAAAGATTTGAGGGAGACTGTATGAGCTAGGCGGGTGCTAGCAGGCGCGAGAAGGTAACGCGCGTGAGCGGGAGGTCCGAGAATGCGCGCGCGCGAAGCGAAGGCGCGCCTAGAACGTTAAGGGAAAGGCCCTATTTGAAGAGTGGAAGCACAGATGGATGGTTGACAGGAGAATCAGATCTGATATCAAGTGAGGAGGTGATCTATACACTTTCCAGTACACAAAGATAAGGGGAAAGTAAGTACCAGAACCAAAGGAAACCCTTCTGTATTTAAGAATGGAGATTACGCTAAGCGGCGCGCTTCCGAGCGCGCTCCCGAACCGAGTAACCATATCAACTCTAATTATAACTAAGTTTAAATAGACTTTCTATATGTAGCGCGGACGTCGGACCGAAGATTTCATTAGTTCAATGGACAAGATAGGAATAACGCACCAGCGAATCAGTAAGGACATGGGACGAATGGACGGACGATAGCGCGAAGACCTAGGAGAAGGCGCGCGAAGCGCGCATAGCGCGTGCACAGGTAAGGCGCGCCTAAGTGCGCGCAAGTACGGATAAGGTGCGCGTGAGTGCGCACGAGACTGGTCCTTAGGATTAGAGCTGTAGCATATAGGAATGTATGGGTAAAGGCCGGATATTCGGCATTGAGATGCGCGAGTCTCTACATCGGGATTCCAGAAAACCCGTTCGATATGCACCACACATATTCAAGGCAATTGATAACCACCTGTTTCATCCGAGCAGTCTATTATTACAATACAACTTTTGAAGTGCTACATCAAGAACAGTGTAAGTGTCTGACTCTAGTTCTGAACACCAATGGCTAACAGAATGGTCAGTGAAGGTCACGAATATTGCTAAGATCGAAAGTGAAGTGGGCTGGTCATATTTAAGGAATAAGGTATGCTCGTTCTGATGTGTTACCCTCACTCGCTCTAACACATTAGGGATAGTTCAAGGACACGCACATAGAGATTACTTCCAAGCTGCAGAAGGTGGCAAGAGGTAGGTAGTGCGTCTTCACTGACTGGGTTTGTCATCAATGAAGAGCAAAGAAACCCGAAGATGCTTGATTTGATTGCTCTCCTTAACTCGGACAATTTGCAATGGGTAAGAGACGAGAAACTGCATAATCGATACTGAAGACTTTCGTCCATCAGGTTCAACGAGCAATCAGTGACCTCGTTATAACTCAAGCTTTTAGGGAAGTCGTGTGGGCCGCATTGTTGCGACCTATCCCTGAACTTGTTGATGTCCATGGACGGATGGCGGATTTATTCCCTGCGGACATTCAAGACTGGAACGGCAATCTACGATGTAGTATTGTATGTTCACTCGTCATTCTAGTGAGCCTTTTCTCCGTCCTAGCACATAACAATGACGAAAGTCATGCCTCTATCAGATGTACCAGGCCTTTAGTCATGATCTAGACATGCAGGCACAGTACCTGAAAGCGCCCCAGCTGCATCCCAGGGTCATGGCTGCTTGCAGTGAGATGTATGTGTGCCCAGAGCAGTTCCCTCTCTTCTCCGAAGCGATCAAACAGCTACCTTCCTTACAGTCAGTGTCCTTCGCACAAATTTTGATCTTGCTCATTGTTTGTATGCGTTTAGGGAATCAAATGTCTTTGGCATGGATACCAAGAACGGAGTCCCGAAATCAACCATAACACAGGGAGTGAGGCGATTGAAGACCTTGGCTGATCTTTCATCCATACAAATCCATAGTGCCCCGGATTTCCAAGTTCCCTATGTGCAATTTTCATTTCCGGCTCCTAGCCAGCATGTGGAGATGCACATCTCACACTTCATCACACAGTCTTAATGTACGCCGGTAGAGTAGTGATTTGAACGCTATGATATGAGTTGTTTTGTATGTTCCATGCGTAATATTAGAAACAGAATGCTCCTTTTAAAGTCCGGATGGTTATGCACGCAAAAAATATTTATAGGTATACTGGTCCCTTCGGTACTAGACAACAATTACGAGTCCTACAGCATGCCACACCAACTCATTTGAAATGTTGTGTTCTTATAACAAGCAACAAACGAGTTTCTCTCACAGCTGTATTCACATGTTCAGCATTTTGATGTTCATCAACGGCCTCCAAGCTCGAACATGCAACCCAAGTATGCACACATCTCCCATGGTATGACATCACCTTTTTCAGAAACTCCTTGCACATAAAAGCATCACCCTCTCCCGTCCGTCACGTTCTTTGGCAGAATCGTCAAATCCGTACAATCTGTTGGCACGCACGCCCATCTATGTAGTGAGGGTATCGCCTGTAATGCGAGACGTTGAAGTGGGGTGCCCCTCCAGCGGGGGGTGGCACAGGCGAGTGTTTGCCACCATTTGCATAGCTTATTCGGCAGGGGTAGAGCCTTTGGGTGTTGTCGTAAGTAGAATCATCATTAGGTAGAGGCCACACACCAGCTTCCGTCTGCCAGAGGCAGGCACATTGCCAGCCGTGCTAGTTCAACGTCAATAAGAGGATGTGATGTCCCAGGTAAAAAGCCCACTGAAATCAGTTAAAAGGGGGGTGAGAGGCTTGGTGCTTCGAAATTTAGCTCACAGAATTACGGGGATTCCTTTCGAGAGTCGAGACGCGGGCACTGGGATGGATGTATGGTAAGTTGACCAAATGGGACTGAACAATCAAGTTTCTGAGATATATTGTTGTCACCGAACTGACGATCAAGTTAACAGTGATCAACACGTTAGCTGTGCCGGGGGCTAAGGACTTGTTCTGCAGTATAGTGGATATAAAGTTGAGCTGATGCGTCCAAACAATGGAAATGTCACATGACTTTGTTGTATTTGGTATTATTTGGCATGACAGAATGATAATCACATGTTGTTACTCTAAATCTATATCACCATTACGAAAACCAAATAAGGAATCTTCTCGGCAAGCATAATTGAATCATCCCAATCGTATATGTTAACATTCACGTTAGACAATGACTCGGGTCGCACATTCACCTCAGATCGGAAGCGATTCTCTCATAAGTCTTGCCCTGTAGGTAACTTGAATACGATCTCACAAATTACAGATACAATTTGAGCTGTGGATAGCAAGCAGGGTATGTATTTAGTAATGCGTCACCGACACGGAGCCTGACTTCAGGACCCGAGGTGGCCGCAGACATCACATCACATCAGGCAATTTGTGCGCCTCTGTGCCGATGGTCTCGCTCGTGTGGCACAACGTGCGACGCAATGCATGAATTCAGTGATGCAGAGCGTGCATATTTTTATTTGACTATTAGTATAGAGCCGATAGCTGAAAATGCTCTAGCTATGAACGTTATGAGCCGCAACCATATACCACCATCATACCACCACGACAGCACTAGCTAGTACTAGCGCTATGATCTACTCCAGTATGCATAACCGATGTGATGATTCAAATATTCATTCCCCACTTACAATGACACATACTACAAGAGCACATAGTACTAGTAGCAGTACTATCATGATATCTGCAGTCACTGCTACTAATAAGTACATTAGCAACAGAGTAGTATACCACTACAATATTTAATGATGTCCCTATACTTAGAAATCCTAATGCATTTCACAATCTCGTCACAATCTTGCCTATCGGTTTCCACGCCTGATGCTGGATCTCCAAATTTAAAGATGAAGAGAATCAAGCAAGATGTTTTAAATTTATGACATATCCAAAAAAGGAAGTGATGGAACCGATAGAAATGCATGGGTCAGGTACAACCGCAGCACAACAACCTAGCAACTTGAGTCACTTGACACGTTCGACATATTACCATTTCCTGAATTCTCGGACGTGCCCTACTTTAATGAGCCGCTGATGGTATTCATTATAGCTCTTGTCCACGATCCGTACTAGGCTGCTCACACCAAATGCCTTCAATCAGAGACTCCTTGAGCCTAACTATGCTGTCTACCTTGAGATCACTAGATGATTCAACACTAAAACAGGTGAGACATCAGTTTATTCTGTGTTTTCGATGTTAACGTTCAGTTCTGATACGTCATAGTACATACACATAGCAAACCACTGGAACCCACATATCACCGCTCCCACACTGTGTGGTTATCCATTTCAAAGAACTTTTGAACGAGCTTGTCCTTCGACATACACATCCCTTCTCAGGACCATCCATGTCACGGATCCTACAGCTCATCTATCGATGGAAGGAGGGTATTTGTGTTGAGAAAAGCTGGAAGGAAGACAACCCTCGCTTGTGTGTCATTCCTAATTGTACCCTGTCCTGACATGGTGAAACAGTTCATCAATTTAACGCCTTCTCGAAGTCTTTAATGCAGCACGGACGTGCATGGGGAAGCTTCTCACCATCCCAACAAGCAGGACGCTCTCTCTTCTTCGATTGTAAGAGACCTGTGGATACCCCAAGTCTACGGAAATTGTCAGGTAGGTACGGCTTTTGCTATCTTCAGCGCTCAGTTTCAGGTGACTGCTCTTTTTGCATGCAGATTTGCTATGCCAACACAGTCGCCGAGCAACCGTTTTGTGATCTACCATTCGACATGGAGGATGAGATGTTTGACTATGATCTTGTAGACTTAACCTCGTCACAATCGAGGTCTCATTCTGGCACCGGCGCTGGTTTTGGTTTTTCTTCGTATGGGTATGTCAATGCTCTACCCATCGTGAATGATCCTTCTCAACCCCAGTCGAATCCAGTTGAGCCTGCCCCATCACCCTACACATTATAATATCATTACAAAAATAACCTAAATGGTGCTTTGACGGCTCTCATAAAATCGTCTTCACCATCCTTTCTCGCAGACCTTCCACCAGGTTGCACCTGCGCCCAGACAGATTATTTTTGCTCTTCTCTTGAATTCATACATATCACATTCCCAGTGGTGTCTCTGGTTCGCCAAATGATCAAGTACTAAACTTACTGTGTGGAAGGAGCTCATCTACTAGTCATCAGGTATGTTTATCTATCGATCAAGACCCTCATCTCATCTCGTACTCTCAGCGTCAGCATATGGACAGAAAGGGCTCTCGATTAAAAAAAGCTGTCACATTATCCATACTTCAAGTCCAGGAACTTCCGCCAGACGAGCCCCACAAAGAATTACCGACGTCCTCTGCACAGCGACCATAATATTACACGATAATGCTACGGTATGTCTTCTCCTAGATTCTCAAGGCCGTCTACATTATCTAAGAAAGGGGGTCAGTTTATTTTAGAGGTGTACACATTGAACATACTTGGAAAGGGAGAAGAGGTGTCCCATTCAATCTGGCGAGAGGAGACAGTACTGACTCCATCTGGTGCATACTCCTCCAAGATTGTTGCTCGATGATTTTCTTCTAGCCAACGCAGTCTGTATTTTTGGTACAGCTCTCCTAATTTTGAGCAGTTCAGTTCTGCAAATCGTAGTCGTTCTTTGAGCTCGGCCACGGACTCTTCATGGGTTTCACAGTTGTGCTCCGGCAGGCCTTTGTTCTCCATTGAGGGCCTGTTCTTGTCAATATGCACCTCGCTGATATACGGTCAGATTTGTGGCTGAATGATGATGGTGTTCATGCACCTTACCTTACACTGGCGAGTTCTACAGGTTCGTCTCTTTCATTGACCTTGCTCGCTAACTCGATCCTAAAACAGGATTAGCACGTCCTACTGTAAGTGGGTCACCAGGCTCACCGGAGGTTCAAACTAATAATGCATCCAGATAAATTGAAGGACTGACTCTGATTCAAGGTTTGTGACATATTCGGGTTGGACGTACTAGTGATGAATATGTATGCCTATTTCCGTCTGGCCAGACAGCTTTTATCCTCTGGAATTCCCCAGCACTTTTGCTGAACCATTCTATTCATTACCATTGATTAGACGGAAGTATCTTCGGTGCCGCTCGCATAGCTGCCAGGATTGCGGCCAGTGCTTAGTGGCCAGGATTGTGGCCAGTGCTTAGCGGCCAGTCACCTAAATTGGTCTCTGCCTGGCAGCCATCAGGTACACTGTCTACCTGGAATCTCACGCAGTATAGTACTGGGATAAAAAGCTGGGTCCCGGTATCTGCACAGATTCAGTTACCTTTCAATCCTTGCCTGCTTTCATGACTGCTGAAGGTACCACTTCCAACATTCCGAGCAAACGCGCTGCGTCAGCCCTGCAATTGGGGCCTCGTAAAAAAAGTGTAAGCTGTTCAAATTTGGCACCGGTTTGTAGGCTCATCTTGTCGCACAGCTCTACGTCAGATCCTCTCATATCCCATGGGTGTCACTTTGGCCGAACAGTATTCGCGTTGTGTAACTACCCCTCTCTACTCACCAACGGTATCCTCAGATTAGAACAAATGGAAGACACTCCTCTGGAGGACTTTTCTGCGGAGTAAAAGACCATCATCCTTGTTTACTAGCCTGTTGACTGACGTATTTGACAGAGAACGACGAGAACATTGTGTGTTTGAACAGCTCTTAGATTCTTATCCCGGTGTAGAAACAACAATACCGCTAGGAACAATGAGATGCTCCTAACTGTATCTAAAAATGTCGTAGGTCGAGTGTTGCCTAGTCTGCTATGCTTGAGGTGGCAAGCGCGTTCGACCCTTAAGGGGAAGCAAGTGCAGCAAAGATCTAGAGGTACGCGCCAAAGCGAAGCGCGAGAAAGCGCAGGTGCGCGCAAGGTACGAAGGCGCGGGAACGCGCGCGCGTATTAGCGCGAAGCGCGGGAAAGCGCGCGCGCGCGTGCAGAAATGGTAGAGAGACTAAGCTTAAGTGATAATATAATGCAATATAAGAGAAGAGTGCGAGATGTAAAGGAATAGAGTTCTATTGCGACTTTCTAGGTAGTAGGTACTAGGTAAATGGGAGGTGAAAGTTCAGTAAGGTAAATAATAGTATGTACTGCTGGCGCTTATATAGCGCGCCTAAGCGCGCTCATGCGGAGCCGAAGCGCTACCGAGTAGGTATGTAAAAATATATATGAGTGAGAAACTATGATAAAAATAAAGGTGGAACTATGCTAATAAAGGAAATGGAAATATACGCACTAGGGAGCTTGGTGGACAGTGGATGGATGCATCTGGATGGCTGGCGCTATAGGGCGCGCAAGCGCGGGAACGCGCGCGCGCGTATACATCGTGAAGCGCGGGAATGGTGCGCGCATGGCGCGCGTTGCGCGGGAAAGCTGCGCGTCATATAGGAATCACTGTGGATGGTACACAGAGTGATGCTGCGAGTTGGTGCTGTATACTCCCTAGTGTAAAGCGCCATATCACACTATGAGATGCACGAGTCTCTACACCGGCCTTTTGGAGCGCCTACAAAATGGGTCTGAGGAAGAAATTCTCCACATTGGAGAGCTAGTGCGTTGTTTGCTGCATGGTCAGAGTCCATACTGATGAGCTACAGATTGGTAAAGGAGCAGCAGGCGCGAGAGGCGACGACACAAAAATGCTGAAGTCTGCCATACTTGATTGGATTTCCCCAAAAGGGGCAGCAATCCAGCCTCCTTTGCATAGGAACTCGAAGATCGATCGCGGATTCAACCACGAGCTTACTGGATCACTGCTTTGTCCCGCTGGGTTGGAGTGGAGCGATACAGAGTATGTTGTCGTTTTTCCGGTGTCTGCAGTCCTGAAAACTCTTCACAGAACAAGAGAGAACCTCCGAAGCGGCGAATTGTCAGTGTGCGGAGATCAATGGCCTATTTTTTTGTTCGCCCATCATACGTATGACACAGAAGACCCGTGGTGTGGGCTTCTTAGGAGCCGCTTACTGGTATGCGTGAGTGGAGACATATTTCCAAATTCCTCGTAGTTTTTCACTGTATTTTTTTGATGTCAGGCTTACAAGCACATTTTCACGTCCCCGAGCTCAGTCGACAAAGAACCAAAAGCCACACGATCTGGAAATGCTTGCCTCCATGGAATGAATTCCGTCACAATTGCGTCTATTGCTTACGTTGCCACTCAGGTTCGTCAATTCTATATATTTATAGCTAAGCGTTCTGATATACATACAACTGAAGGTTCGATTCGCTCTAAGTTCCTCCTCGGTGTTCTCGCGAACAGACACTACTACGGACTCAGAAACTTTTACCATAGCCTGCTCAACCTTTTCGAGGACCCTGATGAATCAAAGGAGGTCGAGGAGCTGCTGATATGGTGAAATCGGTATTGTTATTACTCTTTACCATTTCGCTGTAGCTCATATATTGCTATATACCCAGTCAAGTCTTTCCAACTTCCTCCGCTGCCAAGCGATCTGTTAGCGCTAACAGTGCCTTATTGAAAATCCGACTCAAGCGCCTTGCGGCCAAGCAGGGGGCAGATTCGAGCATGATCTATTCGTAGTCTTTGTATCTGAATGTAGTAAATAAGAATATGATCTAATACTACTAGCCATCTTGTCACTATCAGAACCAAGCTAGCATGTTGAAGTGATCACAATCCTGACCTCCAGATGACCTCCAATGACAAAATCACTGAAACCTATTGTTAAAGTTCTCATGATATAGCACAATGGTCTCTTATGCAATACTGATCTGTGCAAGCATGCCTTACAAGATAACTGACCTGCAGCTAAACTCCACCTGAACTGGTATCATCAACAATAACTAGCTGAGATGGAACATGATGACTGAGTCTTGGCAACCAGCTGGAGAATGGTATAATGTTGTGATTGCTTCACACCCTTGGACCCAAGGCAGCTCAAACAGAAACAGCCTGATCTTCAAAGACTATATCTAGCATCAGTATTTATTCAAAGTTTGTGAGAATAAAATATGTTGACTTGCCTTATATCTGATGACGGAGCTTCAGCTACCAGCTGATGGATGGTATGATGTTGTGATTGCTCCACACCCTTGGACCAAAGGCAGCTTGAACAGAAACAGCCTAGTCTTCAAAGACTATATCTAGCATCAGCATTTATTCAAAGTTTGTGAGAATAAAATATATTGACTTGCCTTATATCTGATGACAGGGCCTTAGCTACCAGCTGATGGATGGTATGATGTTGTGATTGCTCCACACCCTTGGACCAAAGGCAGCTCAATTAGAAACAGCCTGACTGTATCTAGTGCTGGCATTTATTCAAAGTTTGCAAGTAATAAAATATGTCACTTACCTTATATGCAATGATCAAACCTTGGCAACCAGCTGATGAATGTCACAATGTTGTGATTGCTTCACACCCTTGAACCAAAGGCAGCTCAAACAGAAACTACCTGTTCTTCAAAGACTATATCTAGCACTAGAATTTATCCAGAGTTTGCAAAGAACAAAATACATAACTTACCTTGTAGCTTATGATCATAATTTGTAAACATTGTGAAGGATCACAATAGATTGTCACTTGTTACCCACATTGTGCAATTGGTGACCTGGTCTGGCATCACAACCACATTGAGATAGCACAGCACTGCACTATAATTACATAACATCCTTAGGGCAATGGCAACTTTAATCCAATGCAGTCCGGCCATATAAAGCTTGATCTAACTTAGACATTCATGTAGACATTATTCAGAAGAAAAAAACAGTCAAAGGTTACATAGGGCAGGCAAAATTATAGTGTATTATAACTAATACACAACTAGATGAGTGGTGGAGACCTTCAGCAACTCAGTATTCCCTTGTCATGCCTGGTAGGTGTTGTAATCTGTCCCCATTGTGATGATAAGCCAGCAGGTGGTTGCAATGAGACTGTCAGCAATGTGCATTTGGTGGGTTCTATCCAACTTAGTCCAGGTATATAAAGCTTTCTCATTTGGAGTACAATTATGACAGATTCTATATGTATTTTACTTTAAATAATGCTTTGTCTATCTTTATCTTTTTCGTGTCAGTTCCCTGATGAACTCATGGGTCTCAGACAGCGCTTGTCCAGCGTTCCTCGACCCTCGTTTTGAGTCGCCAGGCGATCGACAGCCTGCTTACCGGTAATCTCAGTGCACTTGCTGTAAAGATATCTATTGATTTGGCTCGTAGGATATATCGGGCAGGACGTTCCTCCGACAGAGATCGCCGACCGCTTCTATGTTGCTCTCCCCTTGTCAGCTCAACAGAATCCCCAGTACAATGCCAAGGAGATGTATGCCCATATGGATCAGTTTGTTGGCAACATTCGAAAGTAATTTCTTCATCTCACCCTTTTTCCTTAGGGACCTCAGAGAGAACTTGTCACAGCATGGATATCTCCTTCCCGGCCCTGAGGACAACTTTGTTCACCATCTCTATGTTCGACGAGGTAAGTTTGTTTTTTCTGTATTGTTCTATTTTTCTCACCGTTATTCCAGGTGGCTATTACATCGACCGGGGTTGTGCACAGCTCATCACGTCTGGCAAGGTATTATTAATTTTGCTGAGTTCCCCCACACATGTTGCTTACTAGCAACCAGATTACTGTCAAGTCCGGGCATGAGATCTTCCACTTCTCCCCTTCCGGGTTGGTATTCGATGATGGTTCGCAAGTAGTGGCCGACCTTGTCATCTTCGCAACTGGGTAAGTCTTTTACATATCTATCTGTCTGATCGCGCACTTCTGACGCATCATTTACAGGTACTCAAAACCTACAATCAAAGAAGTCACTGAGAATCTTTTTGGGCCTCAGGTCACTGATACTGTCCATGACCTCGGAGGATTAGATAGTGATTGTGAGTTCGCAGGTATTTGGAGGCCGACTGGACGTCAGTATTCTGTTGATTTGATTGCGCGACTCAATGATACTGACATTCTACTCCAGACAATGGACTCTGGTTTGCAGAGGGCGATCTCTTTGCTGCACGATTCTACTCCCAGTTCATTGCATTACAGATAATGGCGAGGGAGATGGGATTGCTGAGTCCAGACCAGAAAACTTACATCGCATGTTGATTTCTGCGATTAGCTTCTCAGTTACCCTAAATGTTATGTAGATGAGTGTCAACGACCTGCCGATAATATTATTTAGATGCGTGGATTGATTCTGTGAACACGGATGGTGCAATAAGAAGTCTGCTCCCAAGTCAGTATATGATAATATACAAGTCCGATCGTCAAGGTACAAACTAAAATCACTGGTAGATCTTTAGAAAACTACATACAGCTACAGCCACAGTACCTGATTTCCATCATGTCTTTAGCCTTATCATGATCCGACGTGATCTTCTTAAATTCACCGTCGTGCTGCCACGCTAGCAAAAATGCAGTCCAAAGCGAATTATCACACGGAAGGCTTGCAAGTGGGCACCCGTATCGAGCTTGGGTACAGGACTCTGTGGTTCTCGCTCGTCACAAATCTTTGAAGAGTGTAATTCTGTGTGTCAAGGCTTCCGCATGTCCCTTTCTGCCAGGATCGTATTCTTGAAAGTTATGTGGACGACCACAACGACGAGTCAGTTTTTCGAAGACAGGACAGCTTCGTCGCATATTAACCAAAATATCAAATTAGTACAGAATAGGATTATCAAGCAACAGAGAGTTTAGTAGATAATCTCATGACTGATGCGAGGTGGGACGACGACGACCAAAGAAAAATCCGCAGCAGCTCACTCCTTCATAAAAAACATCTTCCGTCCCACCACCTGCACCTTGTGTTTCCGTCGGGGGTCCTTGAGACACTTGTGTCCCCGACACAGCCTGAGGTTGACCTGCTTGCGTCGAACTGCCGGCCTCGCCGCTATTTGTGTGTTGCGCTGCTGCCGCTGCCGCTTCTGCGCGGGCCAATTCTGCTGCGCTGGGAGGGGAAACATAAATTCTCTGCAAATGTATTAATTTCCATGGCATCAAAAAGGAGCGATGGAAGCCACTCACATTTTTCTTGCGACCGGCAGCTACTTCAACAGTGCGTATAGAGCTTCCTCCTGACAATGAGTTGAAATTCCAACGCTGGGGCTGCAGCGGGACTGATTGTGGCGCGTTTGGAGGTTGAGTGTTGAAACGCAGCGAACCGAGCAAACTGCGCCAACGAAGGGAAGACAAAGGGCTCGCAGGAGGAGCTGCAGGATGGGGTTCAATGTTGGTATCAGCGTCCCAGAAGTCGTTGCCCTGTACCAGTGTCAAATTTACAAGAGCCAGAAAGAAATATTATACTGACATATTTCGTCGAGCCTCTGTTGATGGGCTGCTTCTTGGAGATCTGACCAGCGTGTAAGATCTGAAGAGACGAATAAGTAAACGAAAGTGTTGACAACTGATCGGCGCACAGTATCTATCGATCGAACTGGACGTCCCTGGTGAACAAGTAAGATACCATAAGAAAGAGAAACGCAGACGATTTGCCTTGAGCTTCGCATCGGGTTTAGTGCTGCCGAAGTCCGGTTCGGTTTGGTTCTTGGGGCAAATTTTCCGAACGCCGAACCGAACCATAGGTTCGGTTCAGCCATTTGGTCGAACCCTGGACCGAACGTCACCGAACGCGTTCGGGAGGGTCCGGTTCGCGTTCGAACCAGGTTCGACTAAGCTTGGACCATCTGTGGTTGTATAGGCTCGAGACCATGAGTTGTCATGTAATTCGAGTCGGACAGACAACGAAAAGACTCTAACGCAAGGAGAACTTCTTTGTACAAAGATTGAATTCAAGTTTCTAAAATAAACACATTTTATTTGCCCGGTGCACATAGTTCCCTGATCACATTCTCATCGATCCTCTTCTCTAAACATATCTCAAACGCAGCAGCATGTACGGTTGCAGTATTCGAGATTGCAAGCGTGTCAATCTTCGCTGCAGGATTCTCTGAAAGGCGGAAAGCCCAGAGAATAACAGCCGTATTGATGAAGATGGACCGATTCGCGACATGTTGACCAGGACACACTCTAGTATTTTCAAGTAAGGCATGAGAAAAGGTGGAAAGATGAACGATACCACTCACCGGCGGCCAAAACCAAAAGTGAAAAACTTGAGATCAGTGATCACCGCGCACACGACCTGCATCGTCGCGCGATGCGCAAAGCCTGTAGTGAAAGGTGGTCGTCCATTATCGCATCATCACAACTGAAATAAGACGTACCTCCAATAGTGACAGGTCTCCACCTGAGACCCTCGAGGATGAACACGGTAACTTGCGGCATAGCTTGAGCTCGAACGAAGACCGACAGACTCACGAACTGCGAACGGTGTGCAACGACTTGTATCAGCATGGCTGTTGCTCGAACGAGGATCGACACACTCACGACCTGCGAACGGTGGCCAACGTCTTGGATCAGCACGGCTCTTGTTCGAACGAGGAACGGTGGCCTGGTCCGCCAACGATTTGGATCAGAATGGTTCGAGCTCGAAAATCTTGACATACTCACTTCCTGCGAACAATAAGCAACGACTTTGATCAGCATGGCTCATAACATTCCCAAGTAGTACTTACCTATATTAATCATTAGCAAGAGTTCAAAGTGTTTGGAATTCATATAGCGACACAGACTCCAAACCATCGGCAGGTGTGAGAGAGTCTTCATACTGTTACCTTAGCCGAAAACCAAATATGTACAACATAATTTCAAACACCGCAACTTTGAGACTCTACACACCAAGCCGACTGGCAAAACTTGTAGTGGCGCGAGGTTTGTATGTATTTGTCCCACCGAAAAAGCCTTCCGAGCGCGCTGACATATCCCAAAAGAAATGGGAGCAATCGAATATTATTGTCAAAAATCTTTAGCGTGACGTGCCTTTAGTGACATGATGGATAATCCCTTTCTGAGACTTAACATCTTCTAAGTCACGTATCTTGATGTCATCGCCAGCTGGCCGGTTCGAAGTACTGAGCTTTGCAGAAATGAAACGCATTGCAGAAATGAAACTGGGTCTTACTCCTTGTACTTGGCAACTCCAGTCCGCTCACAACCAGCTTGAGAACAAAGATGTCTTCACCATCTCACCCACCGGCTCAGGAAAGACTCTTACCTTCTAGATTCCCCTGTTATTCAACAATGGTGGAATAACAGCTTCTTCATTCACGTCGTCTTCTTCGCGCATCATTCCTCCAATGTCGTCACCTCCAAATTCTCCAAGGTCCCTCTCTTCAACATAGATATCCATGTCCTCATTGCCCACCTTCACATTCCCACCCATAGCTCGCCGCTGCTGAAGTGTGCTGTCGAGCAGCGTGAAGAATAGATGCCACAGGTTAGGTGCCACCTCCTGCATTTTTTCTGCGAGCTGATGCATGAATGCACTCTCCAGTTGTTCGACAGTTGCAGACGTGGCTTTGAAACGAAGTCCGTGCTTTTCGAGTGACAAATCTGTCACCTCAGTGCGCAGCATGTCCCGCATGATTGTTATTGCCCACTGTGTTACATGTGAGTGCGCATGTTCTTCTCTGTACAGGGCAGCACATATTCTAACTGCCTTCGTTGTTAGCGAGTTTCTTGCGCTCTCGTGTTCTGTGCTTCCGAGAATGTGGTTGATGAAGTCTGCTGGAGTGAGAAAATTTTCTTCCATACATGCAAGCACGTTGTCCAGTCGGTCTGCGAGACTTGTATCCATCACGAGCGCAACAGCACGAAAGCTAGGACTCTGTCTTTTGTTTTATGCATTTTCTGCCATTGTTCTCTGCACTGTTAATATTTAATTATTATTATTTCCGTCACATAATTAAACAATACCATTTGTCTTTTTATAAACAATGTGACATCAGTTAATATTCGATTGCTCCCATTTCTTTTGGGATATGTCAGCGCGCTCGGAAGGCTTTTTCGGTGGGACAAATACATACAAACCTCGCGCCACTACAAGTTTTGCCAGTCGGCTTGGTGTGTAGAGTCTCAAAGTTGCGGTGTTTGAAATTATGTTGTACATATTTGGTTTTCGGCTAAGGTAACAGTATGAAGACTCTCTCACACCTGCCGATGGTTTGGAGTCTGATAGCGACATAAGATACCTAGTGTTTGAACATGTTGTGACGGTGCAGTACTGTGTCACAGCGCGTCACGACTGCGGCAGGCGCGACAGAGGACCGCGTCAATTTCACCCGGCTCAAACCTGCGCGGGTTGCAGACACATGCATTTGCATATATTGACACATAGTAAATACTTACATCTTTTTAAAAAAGTGTAAAGCGTACAAAAATTGAGAGGTTCGAACCTGTTCGAACCTATTCACTACCAGCCCGAACCCCGAACCTCTGGAAAGGTTCGGTTCTGAGTCTTGGCCGAACCTTGGACCGGACCATGCGTCCGGTTCGGAAAGGTTCAGGTTCGAACCGAGGTTCGGAACCGGACTGCGGCAGCACTAATCGGGTTTTGCTTCAATCGCAAGCTGAATTACAACCAAACCCCGCTTAGAAAAGACACTGACAAAGAATAAACACACTCACATGATCATCGCCTGCATATTTGAGCGCTGCCTCCAGGTTCCACACATATATCTTTGCGTTTGATCCACCACTAATGATATATTTTCCATCAGCAGAAATGACGACAGCCCAAACTTCGTCGTCGTGCAAGAGCGGGTCTCCAACTGGCTGATTGGTCTTGGGGTCCCAGATGCGAACTGAGTGGTCAATTGATGCGCTAATAAGATGGCTTTCGTCAGGAGAAAGACAAAGGGAGATGATGGCATCAGTATGACCCTGAAAAACAACGAGCTCCTTCCCATCAATCGACCGCCATTTTCGGATGGTGCGATCGAAGGACGCTGAGAAAATGTATGCGCCGTCCCTGGACCAACACAACGATGTCACCAAACTGTCATGGCCCTCGATCTCCATGAGCAGCTCGCCGTCCTTTGACCACATACGGATCGCCTTGTCTTTTCCGCCGCTCGTGAATTTGTCCCCTTGGGGAGAGTATCTGACAGCGCAAACCCACCCATGGCCGGTCTCTATTGGTGGTGCTATCTGTCGACCAGTATCTGGGTCCCAGCGTCGTATGGTGCCATCTGATGATCCACTTGCTATCTCCCGGGCATTGGGAGACCATTCGATGCACCACACTGAACTCTCATGCCCCTCCCACGGGTCACCGACCACGCTGCCCTCCCTGATATTCCACAGTCGTAGCTTGTCATCTGTGCTTCCGCTCATGACCATTGACTCATCTGGAGATATTGCTATTGAGAGTACCGCTCCTCCGTCACTAGTCCAAGGCCTCTCCAATGGCTCTCCGTCTTTTGTCCACTGACGAATTGAACCATCACCTGACGTGCTCAGTATATTGGAACCGGTACCCAAACGGACAAGGCCCCAAATGACTTCGGAATGACCCTCGATGATGCACTCTGGCGTCAAGCACTCTGGTGGACGCTCAGACACTGGTTTCTTCCACGACGTGGTTTTGGTATTGTGATTGACAAAGTAGGAACGACCGAGCGGTGAGATGTGCCATTCGCATCCGGGAACCAGTTGTCCAAGATAATCTATGTTTCACCATGAGTTCCTCGTTGGTAATGACACATTCTTCGCTCACCCATTCGCACTCCTGGTAAAGGTCGGTTTCCTGAAGTCGTAGCAAGTGTTGTATCTTGATATGCTATTTTGCCATCCAGTAACTTATACTGCCGCCATTGAGGAGGAAGCGCTTCATTACCGCCTGCTGCTTGTTGAGTAAGTCAGTGAGTATCACAACGCAGCTACTCACCTTCCCAAAGTGCAGTCTGACGATGCTGTGCACCATAGGGTGGTGGATCCTTCTCCTTCGTCCGACAACTCGGAGGTGCGCCAACCAGCGGTGAGTTCAACAACGCTCGTTTCCCATCTCTCTGTTTCGCTGATGTGTTTGACTCGTCCATGACGCTGACGAAGGAATTTTTAATTACTGCTGTCTGTGCGGACACGGTGAGAGAGCTCGGTAGTACGGAAAATGAACTGTCGAGGATGTGGAAACGAAGAGACTTGCTAGATAGTCAGCTGTGCATACTATACTTGTAGGCGCATTTTTTCACCCGCATGTCGGGGAAGTTTTATACATTGCTGTGCATTACACAAAATTCGTCAGCGAGCGTCAAGCTAATTCCATGCGTATCTGTATGAATTAGTACTAGAGGACGCCAACGCCTGAATCACTCGCTTTTTTAAGTTTGACTAGACCAAGAGGCACTTGCGCACCTCCAAGTCTAGCAAGGAGAAACGATGGTGAAGGCAATCAAGTCACCTGCTAAGTGATCATCGTCACATGCTGTAGTTTACACACTGAACAGGCGATTATAACGAGCCAACAGTGTAACCCGCTGTGATCCTTTTTATCAACTCAATCCCAGCGAGAACCTATTCGACTCGTTCGAGCGATGCAATTGACATGCCTGGTATTGCCAACGCAAGGTGTGGAGTGGACTCTATCATATGCACGACTTAACTAAATGACTTGGTGGAAGCACAGTTTGGGCTCACCGCGTTATGAGAGTCGGACCCGGCGATGAGGTTGATCATCATGCTCGCTGGTGATTTATCGAGGGGCCAAAAGATGACGTGGATGTGATTCGGTTGGCGACTCCTCAACGATGAGACCCACAAAGTCGCAACCACGTAACTTTGGCCCGTTGTAAGTGCATCGATACCGGAAACGAAGAGGAGAATATGGTCGAGTCGTTTCGATTAGGATCAGCAGACAGCAGGAAAATGCCGGTCCCCGGACTCTACATACCTCGGACTAAATTTGATTTCCCTTACTAGTCATGCCAAGGCAAGGTACGAAGTTGTAATAGAAGGAGTGGGGCAGTCCTCGAGGTGATGACTGTGTGGAGCAGGTCACTGTACGTGTTAATGGTCGAAGCTTCCATGAGGACCCACAAGGGGAATTTCGGTTCGATATGGGATCATGTGAAGGTCGATGGAGCGATAAGATGTGAAGAGAAGCGTAATCGAGTGGTGCGATGATAGAGCAGATGGTGAATTGATACAAGCTTGACTCACACCATCCCTGGTTCCCCAACACGAGTTTGCCAATTTTCTCGTCACCGGTCCAGTTGCCTAAGATATATGGAAAGCGGGAGTGATCAGCTTCGGCGAGAGTGATCAGCTAGACTAAAAAGGCATTTGTTTGGCTCTTCTCCTGCCAGACCCCCAATCACCCACTGAACGCGATGAAGGATTTACCGACTACACTCATAAATGTGGCTGTGCGTACAGAATGAGGTTAAGACATTGTATTGACGTGGTGCCTAAGATTTCTTGCCTTGCAAATTTGACATGAGAAATCCATCACTCGCACATAGACTTGCATCAAATGGTGATATCAAAGGCCCTTGCTTGTTCCGACGAGCCTCTAGTAGCACTAATATTTGAATCTGACGGTTCAGAAATTTAAATCCAAACCCCCCAAAAAATCCACCATCATCATGTATGCTGCAGAGTTCACCACAAATGCTGACCAGCACTAGTATGCCAACTGTTTTAGTGGTCATCCTGGCACTGTACTTGCTATCACCTATATTGAGCACAAAGATCCGAGCAAGCCCGGTAAATGGCTTTGTGAAAAATGCAGCCGATACCAGCGCTCCAAGTTCACTACCAAGAAAATAAGTGATGCAGGTAAAATAATTGCTTGGCGTGCAGACTTTGTCACATTACAGTCTGACAATAATTTTCTTTAGTAATTCCAAATACCTCGAAGCATGGTTTCAGCCAGTCTGAATATGATGGTGCTGCAGTTCACAAGCAGACTGCAGAGGCGCAGCGTGGAAGTGAGTTGCCCAGTACAGTTGCATTTTATATTGAATACAAACCTTCAGTTATTTTTGTAGAATCCCAACTTCCTGTTCGTGCAGTGGGGCTTAGTGTATCATGTGGGATGCCTCCACCTGCATTCATCCCAGGTCCCGTTCACCCGAGGCGCGCCTCAGCAAATCATCAATTTGTTCCTTTACCCAACTGGCCTGCAGCTCCTGGCCCCTCAGACATCCGCCGTGCAAATCCATTAGGGCCCAACATATCTATTTATGGCCGGGACACTCAGTTTATTGTGTACTCAGACCTTCTTCGAACTCTGCCACTCAGGCCTGGTTATCAAGATGCACATAAAATTTATGAAGAGATGCGAGACCGGCTTGCTCGACAGGCCTATGCTTTGAGTGTTCCCGAAGTGGTATGTGTCAAGGCATACCTTGCAGTGATGATTCCACGGGCTAAAAAACCAACTCTAATATCTGTAAGTGTTGCTCTCTACAATTCCAAATTCAACTTCACCAACTTTGCTGAATCTTCTATAGGATATAGTCGAGTCGATCAGCAATATCCCTTACCTGTATTGGTGCCAATGACCTTAAAACTTCGGTGTATCTCACCCTACTTCCCATGTTCATCAAGTGGTCCATGGGTCTTACTTTTACGTTTGAAGAGGCACGTTTGCGTCTTGTTAGTAGTTTCGAGGAGATTCTTCCCCGTCCATCTGGAGAAGACATCAATGCCATAGCATCCCACTTCCTCAAGACCAGGAACACGAAGCAGCAGTTCAACGCTGGCAAGGGGATCGAACTTCACCTCATTATTCCACATACAAAGTTCCTTGCCGCTGAGCAAAGGCGAAATGGTGAGGAAGTAGCTGAGTCCAAGTCTCGCGATGTTCGTTTTCAACATGGACTATTGGTACCTTGCATGACTGACAGCATACATCAACCAGGATACACCTCGCGCAACAGCAGCAAGTTCATCTGACATCCAACATCTTTCAAGTCCTGCATTAGTACTATCTGCGGTGTCCCCATCAAAAAATTTGCAAAATGGCGTCCAATGTTCGCCTCACCCTGTCAAGCGCAAATTATCATCGGTCAGTCATTCTTTCGAACTCTAGTACCAGCCTTATGCTCATTAGCATCGCACACAGCCTCCTGTCCCATCCACGCCCCCTCGAAAGCCTCGGACCTTGGATGCTGCAGTATCTCCAGATGTTAGCGCACTTCGCCGTGCACTTCAAGCGCAAGCTATTCCCATATCCCAACCAAACTTACCCTTTCTCACTCTTCGCACGTTCAAGGCACTACTGCGGATAATCCCCCCAATATCACTCTCTGCTCTGATTACTGATCCAACCACTTCTGACATAGTAACAAATACTACTGCCCCCCCGATGCAGGCTACTCTTTTTTTCGATCCACGAAGCAAACCGAAGTATGGAGCATTCAAAGCAGCACAATTCGGCTTTCTAGACAAAGCTATCCTTGGACCGTCTGGATCTGATTCAACTCGCATCTGCTTAAAGCAGTGCTACTACCAGACCGACAAATCCAAGCGGTTTCCTTATCCCGATTCTCGGCAACTACAGCTGCTGCAGCCAGAGATTAGATGCAGCATATGGGCAGGAGCACTCATGGACCGGGTTCAGCAATATATTGCCACAGAACTAGTGACTCGCAGCACACCTCCCTTCAAGATTCCAAATATCCGCTTCGTGCATATTGCTCTTGCCACTATCGAGGACGCTGGTGTTACAAAAACATATCTAATTGAAGAGTTCATTGACGAGTCCACGCAAGGGAAATTCACAAAGTATATATCCAATGACTCGCCTTCCCCACTGCCACACCTTGATGCCAATTCAAGTGAAATTGCCCAGTACCTGTCATTTGCACAACACGTCCAATACATCAAGACCAAGAAACTTGCTTACGTTGCAGATTTTCAAGGCTCGTCTTTATTTTGGATATCTACACATAGCTTATTCGTTCTCGACAGGTGGAAGGAATCTTTTAACTGATCCTCAAATTATGACTTCTCCGTAAATCGACATCCCTACTACTATCCTTTTCAATGAGCGGCTGACAGCAATTATCAGTGATCTTTCCGGACACCTGTTCGCAGATGGCAACTTGGCATCTGCATTTTCATCTTTTGCGGAGAAACATCAGTGCAACATGTTTTGCGAATTTTTCAAATTGCCATGGGACTGGTCTCGTCCAATACCCCCATTGTTCCATAAGACACCAGAAGAAGTTGCTGACAGCGAGAGAGACTCAGAGTCTGATGACGAAAGTGATGACTTTGGTGAAAAGAGCATGGTTCTGGGAACTCGCGATGATATTTCAAAAGACTAGTTACTTTGGCATTCCTGTCGTAGACACACGGTCGGCAAACTACTTCTTTGAACGACCCCCCCTACTCTCGACTCAGCCCAGATCTGCTCCATGTCCTACAGCAGCTAGGACAGCAGGTGCATGCGTGTCCACAAATTTGGGAAGATAGTCCTGCAAGAAACTCAGGCCAAGAGTAGATGACAGTGAGTGCGGACGAAGACAGAGTTGGCACTGCCTCTGCCACATGGGCCTTTGAGGATGTCATACTAGGAACGACAGATAGTGAATTGGTGCTTCCTTCAAGAGACATAAGGGAAGAAGTCGGACGAAGGATGACATCCTTGGAAAGCTTTAGCTTCTCCGAAAAGGAAGATGTGCTGCGGAACCCAGATGTAGAGGTCTCCTGAAAGATAGAAACCGATGTGGGGTCTGGGTTGAATACTGACAAGGCGAAGTCTTTCAGAGAAGAGTGGAGTGATATTGCTGTCGACTCGGTCTTTGCTGGAATTGATTCGTGCGAGCGATTGATGACAGGGTAGAGGAGTGCCCAAAGGAATGGCGTTGAAGCGGCAGGACTGTCTATGGCGCAAGGAGCAGGGACAAGGACAGGAAGGCCTCCTGCGCGGAATGACGAGTTGCGTCCTCAGACTGGAGACTGTCTATGGCGCAAGGAGCAGGGACAAGGACAGGAAGTGTGACCTGACGCTGGTAGAAGCCGGTGGTGTAGGCGTTGGCGCTGGCGAAGTAGTGGGCGCAGTATGGGCGCGGGTGACGTGGCGCTCGCAAGTGGTGGTGACGCGCTGGGCCGTTCTATGGCGAGGCAGGCGTTGGCGCTGGCGAAGTAGTGGGCGCAGTATGGGCGCGGGTGACGTGGCGCTCGCAAGTGGTGGTGACGCGCTGGGCCGTTCTATGGCGAGGCCCGGTATGAGGCTGCTTACCTCCTCAACGAATCGTCTTGCTTCCACTTCCTCCCGCTGCTCATTTTCCTCTTCTCTCCTCATTCCTCCTTTCTCCTCCTCCCTTCTCTTCATCTCCTTGCCGTACTCGTTCCTCTTGCGTCCGTTCGTTGTCCGCGTCTGTTCGAGCCACGTCAGCATTCGCTGACGTGTGCTGGGCGTTCGCGCATAGTACCGGCGATGGTGGTTCGAATGGCGAGGGCGCGACAGAAGGTGCCAGTGACGTGGCGTTTGGTGGTTCGCATGGTGGTGGTGATGGGTGCCGGCTGAGGACACGCGTTAGCGTGTCTGATGGCGTCAAGATGGGTGGCGCGTGTGCTGACGAAAAGGAGTGAACGAAGGAACAAGAGCGTGATGGACTTACCAATGATTCAACCGGGCCATCAAGCTTAGGGTTAGGGTTGGGAGTTTGCACCTGCACGAATTTTGGGGGGGCAAGTTGGAGAACTTGTACGTCTCACAGTACTAGTACAACTTGCTACTCCCGAACCATTGGCGTCCGTGCCAGCTTCCAAGCCGCACTGTATGTATCGCCTCCAGTTCGGAGCTGAACAAGTCGTACATTCATACATGTACATAGATGGTACTAAGTCTTTTCGCCAGTCCCAGCGGAGTTTAAAGCTTCCGTGGGAGATTTAGCTTGAGTTGGACTCACCTCGACAGCGGCAGCACTACAGTGGAGAGATGCTGACAACCTTAATGTATTACTAAAAGTATATCTAGGCATTTCTGCTACAGTCTCTTCTGCTGTCAGACTCAGACTCAGAATCCGTGAACTCTGCGAACTCTGGTTGATCTTCATCATCCTGATCCTCCCCTTGTGATCCCCAGTCCTGAACACCGTGAAGTGCTTGTGTTGGCGGGTTCACCATGCCTCCCATATACTGATAGCCAGCCGGTCCTACTAAGCCAGCATTTTGAGGGAGGTCCTGCAAGCTCGGAAGCAATAGAACATCATCATCTTCAGGTTCCGTAACTCCCTGTGAAAGCAGGACTGTCAGGTCATCTTCACCTTCAATTGCAAGGAACTGCGCCAGTAACATCTGATATACATTCCAGAACGAATCCGACGATACTTGCGGTTTGCCGAGTGAGGTATAGAGATATTGTGCGCGTTGCTCAAATGAAGGTGGGACAAGATCGAAGACAGGATGATCAGAGGGAGCATAAATTGCTTCGACCTCATCAAAGAGCGCACTTGGCACTGGAACCTTGAGAAGAGTAAGTAGTGTTGAGCTGCAGTCATGGACGACATACTTTGAAGTCAAGTGAATTGAATTCGTGAGGTTTCGCACGAATGATTGCTGGAATGCCGTGAGGAAGAATCTTATTTTTGTCCCTGCGGGGAGCGTTATGGTTTCTACGATGAGCCCATGCATCAAGCTCAGCCTGGAGCCATGGAATTGCAAGCCAGCGGAACACGTAGCTAGATAGTAGATGGAGATTGTCAGTGAATACATATGCAAGGAAGTGATGCATACTTTTGCAGAGTGTTGTGAATGTCATATAGTCCCCTAGTGACACCTTCCTCCAGGATATTCTCGAAACCTGGAGCAAAGTCCCTGCGAAGCACAGACCACATGATTTCGGGCTTGATGTTCTGGTGCTTTCGCATCCAGCGGTGCTGAAGTGTTCCGTTGAGTGCTGGATCTAGGCGGTGCCGAATCATTGTTTGTGCATTGGCAACAGCAAAATTTTCGGAGCCTGGATCGCTCTGAGTGATCAAAGGTACAGCTGAGATCACAAAAAAAAAGACATGATCAATGTCCGATCAATGTGAGGGGCTTGGTGACATACCTCCAAGTTTTCGGCAACAGTCAAGGTAGTATTTAGCAATAAGGCGTGGATTCTTGTTGGTCCACCAAACTTTCAGCCAATTAATCCAGCCGGTGAATGGATCGAGGCTGATATGCAGCCATAGCCCAAAGCGCAGCCATTTGTCATGCTGGTGTTGGGGCCAGACATCATTAACCCCCGCACACCAAAAACGCCTCCGTTTGAGACGTCCACGACGCCTAGCTTCCACAGCAGTTGGCTCTGTGATCTTGAGAAGCTTGGCAATCAGTTCGCTGTTCAAACATTAATTTATAGTGAACAGTACTAGCAAGTAGACAGCAACTCACCGGGGTACGTGAAAGCTGAACTGCTGGCGCAGGTCTCGTCTGATGGCCTCGGCACCTCGGTGGGGAAATCGTTGTCGAATCTCCCGGACATGCTGTTCAATGGACTCGAGAGTATGTTGTTGTTGCCTGGTCCGTTTCCAGCCCCAGCTATTTCGCATCCGACGAAAGCTGACAACGCTAGCATGATAAATTAGTTGAAGTAGTTGCACTGGACATATGTAAGACACGAACCTGAGTCCATATTCCTCCTGGTCATAGTGGTCTTTGAGGTGGTGCACGATGTCAACATCACTCATGTTGAGCTTGAAATAAAACTGAGCCAGATCTTGTATTTCCCTGGCAGGAGCTATGCTCGCTCAAAAATAAGTGAAACTGGCAGTGATTCAGGCTTAACACTCACGACATGGCTTATGCTGGTTGGTGCGCCGAGAACGATCAGTCATAATGTTGGGAGCACAATCCTGCACTCGTCAACTTGAACGTTCGAGTTGTTTTGAATTCCGTCACAGATTGCGCTGTCATTGCATTAAGGTACGATCAGCACCTGATTTACTATCTGTAACCATTGGAGGACTCATAATTTGACAAGCAATACATCTTGAATATATCACTAGAAACATTAATATTAAGTCTCTCTCAAGCAGTGGTTGGGGGTCTGACAGGTAAAAGCCAAACAAACACGCTTAGCGAAGCTGTTACGAAGCTGATCACTCCCGCTTTCCATACGAATCTACCGCGACGGAACCAGCAGTATTTCTTGCAAAAATCTATGTGATGATATCGACAGTAATGAATCCGAGGATGACTGCCGTCCTCGCAGCGGAATTCGAAGGTGCGTCCTACACGATACAGGCATTGAAACGCGATCTATACCTCGAGGTTCGTAGTCTCGATTCTCAATTCTCAATTTTTTTGGTCCCATCTTCGTCTTTCGCCCAGCTCCAGAGTAATGAAATCGAGATCATCGATGGTATCCATCACGACGTGTAGGAGATTGCGTTGCGGTGCAAACCTGTTCAAGTCGATGGAGGTGCGTTTCATCCTGTAAGGAGGGTCTGTAGTCGTCGCGTTAGCAAGCAATATATAACGCGTGATCCCACGCACCAATGGCGACGCGAACGAGGCGTTACCGTTCTCTACGGTCGCATGACCACTGACATCGTGTCAGAGACTCCTAGCAGCGCAGTTTATTGCAGGGGACAGCATCGTCGACGATTTTGTTTGAACTGAGTCCCGACTCCCCGATCAGTCGGACCAAGTCTGTGACTCCCTATGGACAAGACGGTTGTTGGCGTAAAACGTGATGAGAAACGTGAGGTTGAGCTGTTTGGCGAGCCACGAGATCAAGGCTTCGTGAAGGGTGGACGTGATCTGGACTTGGAGCGCGTCTTCAAAGTGGCTGAATCTGCGGTTTGATGACGATCAGCGCGACTCGTCGTCAGAAATTGGGATGACGCGATCCTGCTGCGTCGGTTTCGTGAATACGACTTCCAAACGCATGACTAGCGTTCGGTTGAGCGTGGAACGTCGGATGAGCAAGGATCTCCCTCGTCCGTACTTCGACGAAGCTTGGCTTGCGAGAAAATCAACGTTCGAGACAAAGGTTCGAAATACTCGGGCGTTCGTACCTTGTCGAAAACGCGAAACGATACAGACCGGAGTCCCAGAGCCACGAGTCAAGTTACATCAGAGCAAACCCTCCTAGGGACTTGGACAGTTTTATCGGCAGGTAAGTTTTGATCCCAATCGCAAAGCTAGCCTGAGTACAGCACTGACTCATCATGATGGCGTGTTGGTCGCTGATCCCACCAAAATTATAACTCCGACTTTAGGTAAGCCTTCAGCTACAGGACTCAGGTAGTACTAGTAGTACTAGTGTTCCCTGCTTCACAGTGCGTTATGCGATTCTTCTGCTGCGCCTGGGACTGTCAGCTCGCTAGGACCAAGACCGCGCGTCTGATCCTTCTCGCAGAATGACTCGTATCGTTGGTCTCCGTGCAGTGACGACGAGACGTCACCCGCAATTCAACGCGATCAGACCAGAAATCGCAAGCCCTTAGCCGTCGTCGCAATGCGGCCGGGACGATTCCTAGCGTGAATCTGAATTCGCGCCAGAACCGCATCGAGAGGTGGAGAGTCGGGGAAGCAACCAGTGACCAAGGTGGGTTTTCCCCGCGATCCGCTTCATCTGCACCATCCATTCCGCCTCTGACATGCGCAGACGCTGCTCGGCGCGATCTCCAATTTGGTGTTTTAGTTCAGTGATCGCGCTCGTCGAAGGAGCTCGATGTTTTTCACCTCCATTTAATATCTATGTACTCTCATCAATCTATGTTTCTCCTTCAAACCACCTGCATGCGTGACTGCGCTGTGATATATTCATGTGCCTCAACGCCTAGCAACTCTACATCGAAGTAACGACGAAATACCGACAACAAGAAATCACGACAGCGAGGGCCTGTGGGTCTTCATGCAATCCAAAACAGCTTCCACGCAATTCTGAACGCCCCGGATGTGCTGACCCTCCAACGCTCTTTTGACGCATCGTCTTGACAACTTCGTTTGGCTGACTGGAATAGGTAAAAATTCTTCATCAAATCCATGACCGAGGTGTCGTTCACCGCGATATCAAGCCTGGAAACATCCTACTCCCGATTAATGGGGAGTTACAACCTCACTTGCTAAGCGCTACCGCGACGAGACCGGAAAACATAAACCGGAATCTGGAGAGTGCGCCGAAGGCACGTTGCCGTATATGAGCATCCACGTTCACTCCCATACAGGTGAGTTTACCTGTATAACACGTTTTGATCACGTTATAGTTGCCGAGACGACGTAATATCCTTGGCGTATACGCTGATCCACTTAGCGAAAGGATCGCTCCCGTGGTGTGGACTCTCCTCAGCAGAGTGCGAGGAAATGAAACTAGAACTTCGGTCGTTGGCAATCACCCCTGCTCCACTCGGATTGTTTCTAGAACATGCTGAGGACCTAGGGTATTTGCAGCTTTTGTTTGACTCCGTTGGCGGCTGACTCTGGTTGACAGTTATGCAGAGGATCCTAGACCGTCTTTCAAAGGACTCTGCTCAGCCGCAACGCAAAGACGACTGGTTAAGAGCAGCTGCAATAGAGGACATCTCAGAGCAACGCGCGGCCTGGATGGCAGATGTCCTTGTAGCTGCTGTATCACCCCAATACCCAGACAAACTCGGTCAGTGTCCTTCATTTCCGCACTGTTGCACGTGCTGATAAGTCTGTAGTATCAAGCGCGAGATTGGCCATCTTTGCCATGATGAGCACCGACCGCCAAAGACTGGTGGGAAGCAGAGTTCCGATGCTGTTCCAGCTGCTTCGTCAAATAGCGCTGATCCTGCAAGGTCGATGACTCGTGGAATACATTTCCATGTCTACTCACAAGCGTGCGTTCCTCCGATTAAACTTGTCAGGTGCATTTGACACCATGCAACCCGGCCCATCGAACACCTTTACCACGATGTCCCTTTTCACGTCCATCTGTCATTACAGAGGCAGCGACCTCAGGCTGAACAAAGCAGCGAACCAGTTTGTGTTGTTAACTTTTCAAATTCCTAGTGCACTCGCCCGGATAATTGTTGGTTGCTTTGCTCAGAATCGTCACAAGGAACCTCTATAGTAGCAGTGTGCGCTGGTGATTCAAGAGGTTCCACCATTTCGCGAACGTATGCCTCACCACCCTGCTTCTGATTTCATGACCTCTGCAGAAATTGCTAATAAACTACCGAAGGACTTCATATGGGGATTCGCTACTGGTACGTTTCACCATTTTTACCGCTGCCATCATACATTGACGTGTTTTACAGCGAGTTTCCAGATCGAAGGATCTGCTAATGTCGATGGACGCGGGAAGTCAATCTGTGACGACTTCTCCAAGCAACCTGGAAAGACAATGGACGGCCGAGACGGAGATGTGGCCACTGATTCATACAGGCTCTGGAAGGAGGAAATTGCACTGCTTGCTCAGTATGGCGTCAAGTCCTGCCGATTTTCCTTATCTTGGTCTCGTATCATCCTCCTCGGTGGCCGCAACGACCCCGTTAATCCTAAGGGTATAGCCTTGTACTCCAATTTCATCAATGCACTGCTGGAACATCACATAATCCCATTTGTTGTTGTATGTAGAGCATCCGCGCTTCCTTCAGCACGTTCTCACTACGTTTTCTCAGACTCTATACCACTGGGACCTTCCCCAGGCCCTGCATGGCAGATATGGCGGGTGGTCAAACAAGGACCAGATAGTTCAGGACTATGTCCGCTATGCTAAGGCGAGTTGTCCTGTAATTTTGCGTATAGTTTGAAATAAGCAAAAACATGGCTGCTAGGTCTGCTTCCAGGCTTTCAGAGACCGAGTCAAGCACTGGTGTGTGTGCTTCAGGTATTCGGTCACCATGCGTCTTTAGGCTGACAGTGAACGAGCCATGGTGTGTCTCAATTCTTGGGTATGGAAGGGGCGTCTTCGCGCCAGGACGATCAAGTGACCGAGGAAGATCACCAAAGGCGACTCCTCCACCGAACCGTGGATGTGCATCTACTACTCATTGTCTGTACGCAATCGGCTTGTTGATTTCACCCCACAGAGTCGGCCACAGCGTCATTTTATCGCACGCATATGCAATCAAGCTTTATCGCGAGGAGTTCAAGGCCGTGCAGGGTGGCCAGATCGGAATCACGCTCAATGGTGACTGGGCCATGCCATACAATGATAGCCCACACTGAGTAGGCACAATTTTTGGTTTGCTCGGATATTGACAACACGCGTCTGTGCTTTCAGATGTGGAGGCGGCACAGCACGCCCTTGACGTCGCTATCGGTAAGTTTGGCCCCTGTCTGTAGCATCCAGTTTGCGCTGACGAACGGTTGATAGGATGGTTCGCTGTAAGCTTCAAGTCATATGCTCTGTCGAGTCGTCAAATCAAACATATGTTATTCGCCAGGACCCGATCTACCTTGGTCATTACCCGAAATACATGAAACAGATGCTTTTGACCACCTGGGCTTGTGAGTATCGACCCATTGGTCGATGATGATCACCACCTTGTGGTACTCATCGTCGTCGGCAAGTTCGGACGTCGCCAACCCTGCCGAGGACTTCGAGGACGTATCTGTTGGTTTTGGTTTGATCGAGTCGCGCTTCTTCGTCGCCAACCATGGGGTCGAAGAGGACTGGTCCGTCGCTGATGTCTCAATCTGGAAATGTCAGCAGCAGCATTGAAGGACGCGACAGGTAGAACCTACGGCATTGTGCACCACTAGCTTGGTATAAGATTTGAGGAGGACGGGCCCATCAACTAACTCCCCCCTCACCTCGAATTCCCTCGAATCTGAGCGGGCAGTTTCTCTCCGTGTCAAGGGGATACTCCCATGGGACATCTGGATAGCAATGTCATGCTCGATATCCTGGAGCAAGCAGCTCTCGTTGAGCAGCGGCAAGACCGCTGAAACCACCTCTCCGATGGTAGTCTTGCCTGTTTCGTCAACGACGACTTCAGTGCCCTCGATTAGGGAGACCCGACCCCATCGGAGTCGTCGTTTATTCTCAAATGCAGGACCAAGCGTGCCTTTGAGGGCTCGAGGGACGAATCCATCGCTGCGTCTATTACTTTTTGGGCTATGACACAGAATTTGTCTGTCGGATACAGAGTTATCGACGGAAACGCCTGTCTGGCGTTCTTTTTGAACGTCGCAAAGTTGTGCCCGGCTTTATTGCCATTTAAGACATCTTTCGCCTGTTGCAGGAGACCAACGATACGAGTCATTCTGCGAGAAGGATCAGACGCGCGGTCTTGGTCCTAGCGAGCTGACAGTCCCAGGCGCAGCAGAAGAATCGCATAACGCACTGTGAAGCAGGGAACACTAGTACTACTAGTACTACCTGAGTCCTGTAGCTGAAGGCTTACCTAAAGTCGGAGTTATAATTTTGGTGGGATCAGCGACCAACACGCCATCATGATGAGTCAGTGCTGTACTCAGGCTAGCTTTGCGATTGGGATCAAAACTTACCTGCCGATAAAACTGTCCAAGTCCCTAGGAGGGTTTGCTCTGATGTAACTTGACTCGTGGCTCTGGGACTCCGGTCTGTATCGTTTCGCGTTTTCGACAAGGTACGAACGCCCGAGTATTTCGAACCTTTGTCTCGAACGTTGATTTTCTCGCAAGCCAAGCTTCGTCGAAGTACGGACGAGGGAGATCCTTGCTCATCCGACGTTCCACGCTCAACCGAACGCTAGTCATGCAGTTTGGAAGTCGTATTCACGAAACCGACGCAGCAGGATCGCGTCATCCCAATTTCTGACGACGAGTCGCGCTGATCGTCATCAAACCGCAGATTCAGCCACTTTGAAGATGCGCTCCAAGTCCAGATCACGTCCACCCTTCACGAAGCCTTGATCTCGTGGCTCGCCAAACAGCTCAACCTCACGTTTCTCATCACGTTTTACGCCAACAACCGTCTTGTCCATAGGGAGTCACAGACTTGGTCCGACTGATCGGGGAGTCGGGACTCAGTTCAAACAAAATCGTCGACGATGCTGTCCCCTGCAATAAACTGCGCTGCTAGGAGTCTCTGACACGATGTCAGTGGTCATGCGACCGTAGAGAACGGTAACGCCTCGTTCGCGTCGCCATTGGTGCGTGGGATCACGCGTTATATATTGCTTGCTAACGCGACGACTACAGACCCTCCTTACAGGATGAAACGCACCTCCATCGACTTGAACAGGTTTGCACCGCAACGCAATCTCCTACACGTCGTGATGGATACCATCGATGATCTCGATTTCATTACTCTGGAGCTGGGCGAAAGACGAAGATGGGACCAAAAAAATTGAGAATTGAGAATCGAGACTACGAACCTCGAGGTCTAGATCGCGTTTCAATGCCTGTATCGTGTAGGACGCACCTTCGAATTCCACTGCGTTACAGGACGAACTGCGTCTCCACGGGGAGGATGCTACATACGATTCAATACAGGCGAGTGAGCTACCTGTCACGGAGTACCTTCGTCCATTCATATCAGCGCATCATTTCAGTACGAGGTGAGAGAGATCGCCAAGAACAACGGTCTCCGACTCGATGCCATGATTCGGTTTCAGTCGCCGTTGGTCTTGGCTTCTATAACCGTGAAGGTACGGTTTTCGCAAAACATTTGACATTTGACATGGATATATGCGCTGATATCGACCACTAGGCCATGTCGCGAATACCGCATCTCACCAAGTTCGAGCACGGCTGGCCCGTGAAAGAGCTTATCCAGCAATATTTGCAAAACCATTGCGACTACGTGAAACGGAAGGGACGCGACAAATCGAAACCAAAGGTCGTCTTTCATCGTCTTTACTACGTCCTGCATTTAACTCGAGTCACGGAAGGCAGCGGCAGGTCGCACAAAACAACCTGTTCCCGCAGACTTTGGCGAGTCGCAAGAGAGTGGTGAAAATACTGAGGACGGTCGAGATCATTTCAGACGATGGGTCGATGATTACTTGAGCGAGTCGTGCCCAGATCGCCATCTAGCTACGCTGACATTCCCTTCCTTTTAGCCAGAAAGTGCCAACCAGAGGGAAACACCATCGTGCCATACCCATCGTCAAACACGTCGCATTCCGAGTCGACGGAATCTGACCTCGACGACTCGTCGAGCTTTCTACAGGAGACCGAATCATCTCAAGATGTAGTTCGCCATGGCGTTTGAATCCGCGCTCGAACCATTCGCTGACGCATGTATCCTCATCCAGATCTCGCACTGGCAGGCTCAGGATGCTTCAGAACACTCGCCAAACGAGGAAGAATTTCGTGCGACTTCTCCGGTATCTGAGCTGACCATGGAGGAATGCTTGGACTGCGACCTGGAATCCCTACGATTAGATGCTCTGGACTCCTGTATCATTTGCTACACAGTATTTGATGCTTGCAGATCTCGTCGTGCCTCTGGTCGGGCCACGCCCGCTATAAGACACCCGTCGAAGGGAGAAACCAATTCCTGCTTGACGTCTACTCTCTCAAGTCGCGCATATAGTCGCGACTCACCGTTTAAAATCCAAAATCCCGTTTCACCCGGGTCGCCGTCTCTTTCAATGTCCCCGCGGATGGTGCCACGTCGACCAGTCCTCTTCCCCGGCAGGGAGCCAGCACTAAAGCTAAAATCATCGACGCCCATCGAGATGGAACGAACGAACGTGCTCGTCGACTGACCGTTCGAATCCTGTCACTCATACGTTAATGCCGTTGGAGACGAAGATCCGGAAGCTCGATCCTTAGCTGCCACAGAGCTCGTATCCGCATGTGCATGGTTTCTGTGATATTAACCAGCGGTTTTCCCAGTGTCATGTCGATCCGATTACAGTGTTTATGATACTGAATAGAAAGTGTGCCGACTTGTTGCGCTGCCCAGTCACGATTGCAATGAGTCACTGCAGAACGACTATCTTCCTTCGGGAGCCTAGGCTTGACCTCATTTCAGTGTCTCGTCCGTTCAGTATTTTCGACGCTAGAAAACGACAGTTCCAGCCCTTCAAATACTGAATTTTGTGCTTCCCAGTCGCGACGTCCACTGCGGCCCCGAGATAATACGAAAGACTTTAAAAAAGTCAGTGTTCTGAATGTCGACTCGCGAGGTATCCGTTGCTTGCTTTGATCAACCAGTGCCTTCTCCTGTCTGATTTCAGATCAGTATTTTTGACACTGAAAAGGACACTGAAAAGACACTGAAAATACTGCTCTGAATATGCAATGATACAGTGGAATCAGACTGAGCTCGTAGATGAAGATTGCTGACACTGCAAAAGACTAACAGTTGTCTCAAATGCTGCTTGACTCAGGAGGTATTAGTTGCTTGTTTTGATCAATCAGTGCCTTCCCCCATCTGATCTCGGATCAGTGTTTTCGACACTGAACATTTTTACTTGAATATGTGATGATGTGGTGAACTGAGCTAGTAGAAGAACACTGTCGACTCTGCGAAAAACTAAAAGTCAGTGTTCTGAACTGTTGTCTCAAATGCTGCTTGACTCATGAGGTGTCCATTGCTTGCTTTGATCGATCAGTGCCTTCTCCCATCTGATTTCAGATCAGTATTTTCGACATTGAAAAGACACTGAAAATTTTGCTCTGAATATGTGATGATACAGTGAATTCAAACTGAGCTCTTAGAAAAAGATCGCTGACCCTGCAAAAGACAAAAAGTCAGTGTTCTAAACCGTTTTGTCTCAAATGCTGCTTGACTCATGAGGTGTCCATTGCTTGCTTTGATCGATCAGTGCCTTCTCCCATCCAATCTCGGATCAGTATTTTCAACACCTAAAAGACACTGAAAATTTTCCTCTGAATACGCAATGATACAGCATCAGTAAAACACCTGGTTCCTTACCTTACTTATTCTTGTCTTTCTTTCGTCGAGATGAGTATAGGACTTCTTGCTTCTTGCTTTTTGTCCTTTTTCCTTACTACTGAAAGCACATTAAGGGAAACAGGAGTGAAATCAAATTAAGCATAATAAGTACATTGTATTGAAAATTGAGAGTTTAGGACACGATTTCAAATGTGCGGTGATCAGCATATTTGTTAACATAAAATTTTCGGAAGGAATCATAGGTTTGGTAGTGCCAGAGGTTGAGGGAAATGAATTGGCTACCATAGACGGGAATAAGGTGAGAGGCGTGGTAGATTGAGTCAACATGAATGATAGATATGTTGGGGGCATGATTGGCATGGTGAGCAGGCTGCACCACCCACATCCCTGTATCTTCATCAGGTGAATCTCCGAGGGTGTCAAACCATCGCACAACTGCACTTGGATATGTCTCAGTCCTGTAAGTAAAAGAGAAAAAGGTCAGTACTCGAGCAACATCCATACCCCTCATTTCGTCAAGGTCCGGATTCACGTTAACAAAGATACAGTCATAACATGGGTGCTCCTTTCTCCATGCTGGACATGCATGAATGTGCTCGTGGCACATACCACCAATGCCGCTGTGATCACTGGGGGAAAAAAACCTTGAGCATGCTGAATTAAAAATATTGATTTTGTCGTATTGGGGACAGGTCGCAAGAGGAACTTCTGAAGGATCGCGTTGGTCATTTGGATTGAGCTGGGCAAAAAGGAAGCAGGACATCATATGTGGGAGTTGGGGAATCAACGACTGTGCGTGCATGGTTGTGTTCTGATACAGTATGATATTAGCTAGTGAGAATAAACAATGATGATAATGAAAGAACATACAGGCTGTCTTCACCAATTCCACATGTGCTTGGATGACAGTCAGGCCAGTGTCAACTTCGACATCCCCGACATCCCAGTCTTCCCACACACCCACCTCACACTCAGCATTAGGTGGCAAAAGATTTCCAGGCTGGTCATTTGCAATTTGGATTTCTTCTGTTGTAGGGTTAGTTGCAGCACATCAAATGTAACACTTTTAGACTTACGTAGTGCATTGATAGCTGCCGCAAGACATGTCCCGCTGAGCATGCCACAATTTGTAAAGTCAGCCCGTTGTAGAGACTCATGCATCTCTGGGCTTAGAAACTCGACTTCACTCACCTTCCTAACAACATTCAGCTCTTATCCCAGGATTAGTCTTGCGCATGTGCGCCCCTTTTGCTTTGCAGGTATCTAGCACATGCTCCACACGCATCTCGCCCTACTCGTCCATCCATTCATCCATCCATCATTCCCTGGAGTCCATTGGTGCGTTCTCATGTTATTCTCGACAGAACGTGGGTCTTTGGCTTTTCATTGTGTAGTTTCAACATATCTCTGAGCGTCTTACACGCTTTTGCGCTACACATGGCAGTAGGACCCTTATTACATATTTTCATAGTTATATTTAGCTTGTGTGGTTCGCACTTTCAGTCCTATGTGCCTAGCAGATGTGTTGTTGGTGGCACATATGTTGATGAACGGGAATACAAATTTCTGCAAAGACGTCAGTACAAACAACCTCAGCAGATGAATCCGGGTGATGCCAAACTCACCTCAGCTTCCCAGATGATGTGTTGGATGAATTTCCATTGGAACACATCAGCAAACTACTAATTTGGCGACAAGTTTCACACGAGTCACAAGTGCACACAGATCCACACAAGGTCTCACAGACATCACAGACATCACAAGGGTCACAAGGATAGCACTGGTAAACATTGAAAAATAGTGCAGGAGGAGTACATGAAAACAGTATATACTAGTATGTAGTGCATAAATCAAGCACTACTGGTTATATCACATGTGAAATATGGATCAATATTCATTAACAATATGATAGTATGGCCGAACCTAACTTACAGCGCACTCAGGCTGTACCACGTTGAGGACTTGAACCCACAAATGTCGGAATACCACTTTTTTCCCTCTCAATATGCATACGCCCTACGTTGAGGTTGGCTGTTAATACACGCATATTTGCAGCTTCAACATGACGGCGGTAGAGGTCCACAAGTACCATATGATGCTCCAAGGTGCAAT